ATAGTTAATGTGCTTCTTCCTCATTCTTTGGCAGTTCTGGAAAAGTTTCAAGCAATTTGTTACCAGAAAGGACCTAGTCTTACTATGAACCAGACATGAATTCAGTCAGATTCCAGAAGGTGGTGCAGAATACATATTTAAATATGTTTAATGATTCCTATCAAGGTATTTTTAAATCTTTATAAACCTACTTCAGATGGGTTCAGGACATTCTTTCTCCAACCTCTTGATTGTGTTATTTTATAAAAAGATCTCATCCTTAGGAGGCATGAGTGAAGATTATTTTCAGTTACTGCTTAGCTCTGATAGGATAATCATGGATTAGGGAAAATGGCATTTTGATATCACCTCAATTTTTTTTCTGGCTGTTTCTCTTGCTCTTTCTTTAAAATTATTAAAGAAAATCTCAAATATATTTTTAAGAAAGTAGAGGAGAGGGCGCCTGGGTGGCTCAGTTGGTTAAGCGACTGCCTTCGGCTCAGGTCATGATCCCGGAGTCCCTGGATCAAGTCCCACATCGGGCTCCCTGCTCGGCAGGGAGTCTGCTTCTCCCTCTGACCCTCCCCCCTCTCATGTGCTCTCTCTCATTCTCTCTCTCACAAATAAATAAATAAAATCTTAAAAAAAAAAAAAAAAAGAAAGTAGAGGAGAGTATGTCTGTCCATGTAGGCATTACCCATTTTCAACTCATAAGCAGGTGTCTTTCATAGCTAACCCCCCACCTATAACCCCAGCTCTTGATCTAGTTTATTTTGAAGAAAACCTAGAGACCGTTTCATTTCATTTGCAAATATTTTAGTATGTGTCATGAAATTATAAGAATTCTTTTTTAAGCATAACTTACAACAAAAAAAATCAACAGCAAGTTTTTAAAATCATCAGACATTCACTCAGTTTTTGAAGTTTGTTGATAGGTATATGTGAGTATGAGTATGTGTTTGTGTGTGTACTCATGTATTCAAATCAGTATCTAAATAAGGTCCAAGGTACTAGCTTCATAGAGCTGCTTAACAAAGTACAGCAGCTGACTTAAAGCAATAGAAATTTATTCTCATTGTTCTGGAGGCTAGAAGTCTGAAATCAAGTGGTAGACAGGGTCATGCTCCTTTTGAAACCTGTAGGGGAGAATCTTTCTCTGGTTCTTTTAGCTTCTGGTTTTTGCCTGTTATCCTTGAAGTTCCTTGGCTACATCATCAACCCCCGTCTCTGTTGTCACAAGTTTCCTTTTGTGTCTCTATCACTATGTCTCTTTTCCTCTCATAAGAACATCAAGTCATATTGGGCTAAGGGCATACCCTACTTCACTATTACCTCATCTTAATGAATTACGTATGAAACAACCCTATATCCAAATAAGATTACATTCTGAGGTACTTCAGGTTAGGTCTTCAACATATTCTTTTTGGGGGACACAATTCAACCTATAACATCCACAGCTTATATTTTTTTACATTTCTCATACGTTACTTTAATGTATAGATTACTCACTCCTGTAAAGTTTCCTATTGCCTAGATTTTGCTAATGGTATTTGTATGGATTGCTTAAAATATTCACTGTGCTTTTCCTATTCCCTAGAGGGATTTTTCAGCATGAGCACTATTGGCATTTGGGTAGGACAGTTCTTTGTTAGTGGACAGGGGTGTCTGTGTGTGTGTGTGGGGGGGGTAGTTTTACAGGCTTGTGCGCCTTAAACAGCATCCCCAGCCTCTATCCACTATGAGCTACTAGTTCTTCTGTTGAGCCAACTATAAATTGCTCCAAAAATTACCAAATGTCCCCTGGGTGCAGAATTATCCCTGTTTGAAAACCACTGACAAACGTTTTCCTGGGTTTAGTGTTTTGGTAAGATTATTTCATAGGTAATGTTACGTATTTCCATCAAGAGGCACATAAAATCTGATTGTCTTTCAGCCTTTAATAATCATTGCCTTGATCTGTATTTCATTAATACCTGTAAAATGGCAATGTCCTAGTTTTATCATTGCTTCACCCTGGCCATGTATTAGCTGGAATACTTACATAGAGAAACTTTCCTTCATTAACTATTTGCTTGGTAACCCCGAGATACAGTTCTAATTGGAAACACAAGATCAATGATTTCTCTGTTTACCAGTTTTCAAAATAACTTGTTCCCTAGCATCATCCAAAGAGGACTGAGGGTTTTTATTTTTTTTTTTTGAACTATTACAGAATTTATGAGTTGAAACATAATCCAATGCAGTTTTATCTTTACAGATGCTCAAAATGTCTCATATTTGGCTAGTGGGAGCCACTTTAATTAGCAACTCTTCTGAGTCATTTTGACAGGATCCTAGCATTCTTTCATCATAGCTTTCTGGTATGACAAGATGTCCTAGGTTCAAATTGTATCTTTGCCTTCCCTATATCAATATTCTTTAAGATTTGGGACTGAGTCTTCTTTACTCCTCACTCTATATAATCTTTCCAGGAAAAGATTCCAACTACCTTCCTCCCATACCCCCCAGAATCCATACTCTAGATACATAGACACTTCAATCAGTAATATTGGCCAGGGTAAGGCACCTGAGAGGGATGATGGAGGCCACGTCTCATTGAAAAATGTTTGATTAAAACCATTACATTTCAACAAAAGCACACAAACACTGTGTTGGTTCAAGATCAGCAGGCACCAATTTGCAACCTGTGTTATATAACCTAGCCTTGGCCTGATTTAATGTTGAATATTGTGAAAAATATGTTTCAGAGACTGTAGATTTTATTGTCTTCCTCTGAGGAGTGCTGATCACTTTGAACTTGTGTATGCTTGGTTTTACATTTTACAGGAGTGAATCTTTAGAGAGCCCAAGGTGTTTTCCATTCCTGCCCTCCAGTGGGCTCAACCTCAAAATTCTCTTTTCTCAAATCTTGTACTGCTTTTGTTTTAGTCTAGGTCCTGATTAGGCCCTTACTCCTAAGATATGGCCTGTCCATCAAACACTATTTCAGTCAGTCATCCTCTCGTTATCTGGGCTCCAGCTCATTGGCGCTCTCCTTACATCCTTGACCATACCATGGCCTCTTTCTCCCTCAGAGCCTTTGTATGTGCTGTTCTCTGTCTGGAAGACTCTTACCTCCACCTTTTATTAGGTATCAGTCTCAACTTCACCTCCTCAACAAGGCCTTTACTAGTTTTTCCACATAAAAAGCTCCTCTCCCCAACTCTGCTTCACCATAATAGCATCTTACTTGTTTCTTTCATAGAATTCATCATGATTTTTAATTTGTTTACTTATGCCTTGTCTCCCTAACTAGAATGTAGAGTTGAACTCTTTGAAGAAACTAGATCCTATACTAAATGAATTTTTTAACCCCAGAGCCTATAATAATATTTGGACTGAATAGGAATTTAACAAATACTATCTGACTGAATTAATAAATGAGTAGAACATTATATAATGCTTTTCTTGTTTCGGTCTTTTCTTACCTAACCGTTGAATATCAACCTGAATTGAACCATGGGCAGCTTTGCCACCTAGGGCCTTTTTTTTTTTCCTGAAAAACATCCTTCTACCCACCATCTTTGCCCTTTCTCCCTTTCACCTAGACTAGTATGTTTTTTAGTTCTCAAGTAGGCTTAATTTTCCCTTCTCCAGAAAGCTTTCCTTGACTCTATTCTGTCCCTACCCCCCCCCCCCCCCCCCCCCCCCGCCAAGTCTGAGTAATGTGCCCCTGAAAATTCCAGTTACATTCTAAGTTTACTTGAGGCACTATTTTCAATTGGGTGGGGGCCAGAGGTAAATTGCATAGACTTGAGCCATGTTACCTCTACTCATGACATTGGGCACTTTAATTTCATATTACTTCACTTTCCTTTTATGTAAAATAAAGCTAGTAATATAATCTAATTGGGTTTTTGGAAGATGAAATCAGATTGTATAGGTCAAGTCCTCAGAACAGTACCTGGCACACAGTAAAAACACATAATTTTCAGCTGTTACTATTACACACGAATTTTCTGTTAACTTATTTCTTCCATATATTATACTGGAAAATTCCTTAAAGGCAGAAATACTGTTCTGTGTACTCTTCATTCCTAAGCATCTGATACATAGCTGGGTTTTATATTACCAGTTTTTCCTTCCTCTTTTTCCTGCAGGCCCTCCTTAAACTCTTTCCACAGATTTTAGCTTGGTCTCAAGTTGTTACAATGGCCAGCACACTCTATACTATTTGTCTTTCTTTGAACATGCTTAGTTTGTTTTTATATAACAATGTTACCTTTTCTTCCCTTCAAAATTTCCTTCCCTTTTAAACTCAGTTATGGAACAGTGAAGCAAAATGACATTTTCATTCCTTTGTTGGACAATGAACTTTCTGAAAGTTTCCTTGCAGATTTTATCATATCATGTAGTTAGGTAATTTTTGGTCACTTCTGTAGTTTCAATTTCTCAATACTTTGTTTAAATCAACTCTGTACCCCAGCGCCTCGATAAATGTTTAAATCAAATTTGCTACTATATGAATTACAAAGCTATACTAAAATACAATAGAACTAATTTCCCCAATTAACAACAAAACTAGTAGGCTTTTGTGACAAGCGAGCGGGGTGCATCCTGCGCTGCCTTTGGCTAAGCCTAGGGCACCAACTTAGAAAGTGTTATCTGGCAACCAGAGAACAAAGTGGCGACTGCAAAGGACCGGCCCAGACTTATCCTAAATCTCTGGTTTCCAGAATTGGATCAGAAGTTCCGCGGAACAACCGGAAGCATTTTTGCGCTGAGTGAGGTCCGTCAGTAGGCTTTTCAGGTGAGAAAACGGCGACACCTGGGTGTACGCACCGCTGCGGACGGCCAATAAGCTATAACTCCGGCGACCCAATCACTGAAAACGAGACTCAAGCCGGGGACATCCGGGCTGTGGGAGACGGAGCGACGTGCAAACGTTATCACGTTTCCCGCTTCCCCGCCCCTCTCCGCACTGTGACGCTCCCAGGGAGGAACGAAGCGTAAACAGCGCAGGGCATTTTGGGAGCGGGATTGTTTCGCGCAGGAAGCAGGCTCCATTTTAGCGCCGCCCGCCGTCGCCATCTGTTTCCCTTCCCTCCCCCTTACCCCCTCCCGTCCCCAAACCCCATCGAGAAGGCTGGGCCTGGGGCGCTAGAGGTTGGAGTAAAAGGAGAAAAGGGAGAAAGGGAAGAAGCGGGAAGAAAAAGGGTGAGTCGAGAACGGTGAGCGGTAGAGGCCAAGGTGCGAAGCGCGCAGCCCAGCGGCCGGACTGACGGACGTGCCCGTGCTACGGCTGCCGCGGCTGCGGCGCCCGCGCGAGTCGCGTCGAAGCGGCGGCGGCGGCGGCGGCGGCGGCAGCAGCAGCAGCAGCAGCAGCAGCACCAGCGGAAACAGGAGGGGAGCAATGGCGGCCGACAGCCGGGAGGAGAAAGGTTAGTGCGGAGAAAGGTGACGGGTGGAGGCGACGCTCTGTAGTGGGTCGATGGAGCCGTGGTCGTCGTTGCGGAGTGGGGGTTGGGGAGGTTAGCTTGTCCCGCGCGGAGCCGATCCTTCCCACCTGAGACACTTGGACTCCCTGGAAGAACCCAGGCCTGCCCTTGGTCTTCGATCTCCGTTTGACCTAGCACTTCATCTCGCCTAGGGTTGGTTTTCGTGTGTGTGTTTGTTTTTGTTTTTTTAATCCTATTCCCCTCTTCACTTTCCGTTTAGCAGTCCTGGGCGCGGCTTAGAGGGCCTGTGCTGAGTGGCAGGCCCTTAGGTTTATTTCCTGGTAGGATTATGCGGATGTAATGCGTATTTTCAGAACAACTCTTTCTCTCAGGCAAAATTTCGAAAATCCTTAATGCCACGATCAAAACGATGGCAGTCTAGTAAGTGCCCATATTTAAGAAGTTGTACAGGTGGATTAGTAATGTCGAGAAATATCTACAAGTAATTTATGGCTCTTCCTGTTAAATAGGCAAAGTGGCAAGAATTGTCCATTTAATTCCTCGAATACTTATTTTGGAAAACATGATGTATGAAGAGATATTTACATGATACAGGGTTGGCAAAAATAATCCTGGCCACTATTCTGATAGAAACACATTGTGCTAGCATCCAAAGGGTACAACCGGGAGCAAACGGATGTAATTTAGAGAGAGCTGGGGGAATAATATTACAGTGAGATACAGGAGAACTGATGTTGGCAGAATGGAATGTCATGTCTTTTGAAATACCGACCTCCCAGGCCCTACAGATATTAATGAATATCCTGGATCAGTACCCGTCTGGAGAGTAGTCTGGATTAGATGCTGCCTTTAGGGTCTTTTCTAACTTTAAGGATTACCATGATAGTTTTGGAAAGGTTATAGTTGATAAAAAATATGGCACAGCTGCTGCCCTGTATCTCATAGATACACTCTTTTGTGTGGCTAGTTAACTTGGGGGTGGGGATTTGTTAAATGGATTCTAAGGTCAAGTTGTATTAGGCCTATGATCTCTTTAATTTTTCTCCTTAAGAGAAAGAAGAGTCTTCATGCTTCAGTAAACTGCTCTAGGATAGGGACAAGCTTGGGAAGTGGTGTGTTTGGGAATATGTTTAAGATATTGCTGCTATGTTAAGGCAATTCAGCGATTAGGTTGTAGTAGTTTAATTTACCTTCCTTAAATCTTAAACCCACCTCACCACCCATTTTGAGAAGTGTGAAAGGGATGTAAACTTCAGGTTACAACATGGTGTTAGTGACAAAAAGAAACTGCTCTTAATTAGTAAAGTCAGTTATTGAAATAGATGATTTTAATCAATAAAAATTAATTCAGTCAACATTTGATTGTATCAGAGTGTAATCTGTGAGCTGTGTGTATGGGAGTGGGTGGTGGTTGTGGTGGGTGAGGTAAACCAAATACAAAATGAGTAAAAGTCCAGTACTTCCCAAGAATTCGTTGTTAAAATGAACATAGTTGTTAAGTCAGTAATAGACACAGTAACATACACTGTGGAAGAAAAGTAGGTTATGTTTTAAAAATTGTTTTAGAAATGGATGTAGTGATGAAAGTGCAGTCCAAATACATAAACTTTATAACTATTCTTAGGGACTTTATAATGCCACCTATTAGCTATACTTAGATTAAGTCGTCCAACTTTTGCAAGATCTCACATTTGTATAGTTTTAAAAAATTAGGGGTGCCTGGGTGGCTCAGTTGGTTAAGCGACTGCCTTCGGCTCAGGTCATGATCCTGGAGTCCCGGGATCGAGTCCCGCATCGGGCTCCCTGCTGGCAGGGAGTCTGCTTCTCTCTCTGACCCTCCCCCCTCTCATGCTTGCTCTCTCTCTCTCTCTCTCTCTCATTCTCTCTTTCTCACATAAATAAAATCTTTAAAAAAAAATTAACTTAATATCTGTAGTTGAATTTATCTCTATTTTAAAACCTCTGATGTAAGTGCTTATTTTCATAGTTTAGATCAAAGATTGTCTCTAGGTTACTGGGAAAGCTGGCAAATACAAACCTACTGGAATTGCTTATGGTGTAATGAGAAGATTTCTAGAATAATTCATTTTGCCAGTAAGGAAACTGAGGTCCAGGGTGTCTCACTTACTTGATCATTGTCACTCAGCTAGAATAATAACCAGAATTAGAATACCTAATTCCCTCTTCCTTCTCATACTTCAACAAGGAAAAGTGGGAAGTGAAATACTTATTACTTATCTTATATGAAACATTATGAAATTTTAAAGTTAAGCCCTGTAAGAATCTTAGACTTGTCACAGGCCTTAAATGATTTCATGAATGATACAGAATCTTGTTAAGAAATGAGTTTAAATTGCAGAAATCTGCTGTTAGTCACAGAACAGTTAAAAGACTTGGTTATAGAGTCCTTGGATTTTTGGGCTTTGCATATTAACTGTATAATAAACATTAACTTCTATAATGCTTCTATAATACCCATACTTAGAAGCTGAAGCCTGTGTAAATTGCCAACTCCCTCTCATTCCTATGGTGTTTTATGTCCAAAAAGTGGATTTAAAAGATACTGCACTGTTGGTGGTGTTAACTGTTAGTTTTTCTATATGAGGAATACATATCTTTTCTATTTTAAACACCTTGTATTCATTTTATTTCTTAAGCTCTTATGAAGTTCTCTCCGAAAAACAGTGTGAAAGTTTAATATATCCAAAATGAGGGTAATGAGTTAACCACTTTAATAAGTAATATGTTTTCTGCATTTCCAGACTGAAAGCTCCATCAGGGCCAGGAGTCTGTCTCTCTTGTTCACCAGGTTCTTGGTGAACAGTTAATCATGACTCAGAGCCTTGAATAAATGACTTCAAGGTTGGACTTCAGTGGTAACTCATTATGAGACATTTGCTATTGCTGTCAAAGCTAAGGGTTTTCTCAGTTTAAATTGTATGTGTACACACACAATCATATAGGCAGGTACATATGAATATGTTCACACAGTTATAGATACATAAACACATATTATATGTACATGGTATAGCCCTCACTATAGTAAGTCCTTAGAAAAAGGTTGACTTCCTTGGTCCACTTTAATTAGGACTTTAGAAAGCAATAGAGTATGTATTTGATATTCCAGTGTATTTGTTTTACCCGTAATAGAAATAGGATAAAAAATTCAAAATGCTCTCCTTAGACTTCAAATTGTATGCTTATTGGAGAGCAGCAAATTTGTGTGGGATGGGATACGCAAGTTTCTACGCTTCATTTAGTGGAATGACAGTTTTGAATGACAAACAGTAACTGAGACTGGTCTAGTGTAAAATGTAACAAGGGGAGTTTCCAGGAATTCTTTCTTCTTGTCAAAGTCCATTAAGATTATATTAAATGAAATAAAATAAAAAAATGTACTTTGGTGTTCTGTGTTGTAAAACAAGAACGTGTGGTATATTTAACTGCCGGGTTGTCTTTGTTTAAATATTCTAGGTCTTAGTTTGTTGCTGGACCCTCAAATAATACTTTGTATCTCCTGACCCAGAAGCTTTTGGGTCCTAAACAATGCACTGTGTCTCAGAGAAAGGTTAATTTTCTACACTGATACCCTGGGAGTGGCCTTCCTGGGCCAGGAATTTCAAGATTAAAGCATAATTCTGGTGTAGTGCAAAGAGCACTAAATTTGGATTCATAGTTGTGAGATTTTAGTTAAGTCACTTCAGTTCTGTAGGCTTCATTCTGGGATTCTTGAACCTGGTGGTTCAAGTACTTTGAAACCTAGTTAGATTTCCAGTTTCCCATGATTATCTAAAACAAACAAAAATCCCCCAATAGAACAATAAAAAACAGCCTTGTTACTCCTAACATCTTGACATTTTTTGAACAGGCTTTCTAAAGACAGTGATTCTTTTTATTTTCTTGTTTTGCTTCCTGTACCCCTGGATCCGTACCTTTATTTCAAAACTCAGTTTGCTAATAGTTTGCGATGATAAATAAGATTGTGGCTAGCTTGCATCAGTGATGATAGTGAAGTCCATCTACATCTTGTATTGTGAAAACAAAACATTCACAGATAGCACTTCCACAGAGTAGTCACGCTGGCAACAACCTGCATTTTTGTTCTGTTTTTGAGGCAGTGTTTAATAAGTCAATTGCAAATGAAAATCTGAATTTGGGAATCCTTTTGAAACTTTGGAAGATTGGACAACATGGTGCTTGAGTTTTGTTAAGGCAGTTAATCCACTAGAGGTGTGTAGGATTGTCCTCTTTAACCATTTCTACTCTTTCACAAAGTATCATGCATACCAAATTTATTTGCAGCTATTTAACGTTGTTATTCAGGAGTTACAGGCTTACATGCATACTAGGGTCAGACAGATAAAGTACTTGTTTAATAGTTAATAGGTATTAGGTTAAAAAAAAAAAGTAAACGAGCAAGCATGGTCTGTGTGCAGGCGGTATTCGTAAATACACATGTTTACCAGGCATAAACCCAGATTGTCTCTTGCAAAACCATGACATATATTACCTTTTCTGTCTCAGGACTGCTCCTTTTGGTTGCTTTCAGGTGAGAATCTGGTTCCTTAAAGACCAAATCGTCCTTTTAAAAAATGCAAGGTGTGCATTTTTGTATTAAATCCTTGGAGTTTTAACAACAGTGTCCAAGAGCTAGATTCATACTATAAATTGTTAGTGTATAACTTTTGGATGAATTTGAATGTTAGCTGTAAATAGAAACACTGTTTAATGAATAATTTTGTGTTTCATTTGAGCTAATTCATTGTGACAATTCATTTTGTTGTGGCATCTTAAACAGTTGAGTCTTTAAAATAATTTTCAAAAAATACTGTTTTTTTTTTTTTTTTTTTAAGATTTTATTTGAGAGAGAGAGAGATCATGAACAGGGGACAGAGGAGAGGGAGAAGCAGACTCCCCGCTGAGCAGGGAGCCTGATGTAGGACTTGATCCCAGGACCCTGGGATCATGACCTGAGCTGAAGGCAGGCACGTAACCGACTTACTGAGCCACCCAGGTGCCCCAATATTGTATCCGTTGTAAAGACTTATCCAAAAACTATGTGAAGTGCTTTATCTTATAGAAATATTATGCTAGAGTTATTTTTGTAGTACATGAATTGTATGTTCATAGAATTCTTCTTAATCTGGCACTTGCTAACCTTTGCTGTTTTACTGTTTAACATTCTTAGGTTGGGGTGCTGCTGTCAAGCTGCTATGAAGGAATTGAATATTTAAAATATACAGAATAATAATGAATATTAAAATATACAGTGTATATTTTAGGACAAAGTGATTTAAAACTCTTAAAAATTAAGTTTATTTAAAAAAATAAAATAAGAATTAAATTTATTAAGTTATTTTAAAGAAGGTCACTCTAGAAAACTAATGGGTGTTATTTTATCTCTTAAAGAGAATTATTTTTCTTTTTCCAGAAGGGATATATATGCCAATGATGATTAGTCTTCAGCAGCAGTAGCTTCTGAGAATATTAAAATAATATTTACTTTCTTTATAATTCATTCTGGGTTGAAAAAGTGGATTGAAATATGTACAAAGTGTACTTTTTCTAGCCAATGAAAGAAGTGGTCAGAGAAAGAGCTTAAGTTAGCTTTATAACCCAATACTGTTAACTTTCTCATTTTAAAACCGTATTTTCGTTTTTAAAAATACACCTTACGTTTGTAATTAAAATCCTTAAGTTTAAACAAAACTAAGTAGATGGTGATAGCTTTGAAAACACCTACCAAGTATTTGACACTTCTCCATCATTTAGGTAGAGTCTGTGTCTCCTCTGTTTGAACCTGAGTAGACTTTTGTGATTGCCTCTGAATTAAATACTGAACCGAGCTTCTGCCTGGCCTTTTCTCTTTTGGGATGTTCATATTTAGAGCCCTAAACCACCATGTAAAAAGTCTGCCTACCCTGAAGCTGCCATGGTAGAGCATGACCACAGAAAGAAATGCCCTAGAAGCCTCAGCTGTTTTGAGTCTTTCTGGTGTAGATGTCAGCTAGACATGTGAATGAACAAGCCTTCAGGTGATTCTAGCCCTACCCACCATCTGACTGCAGCCACATGAGACACCTTAGTTGAGTCCCAGAACCATAAGCAATAATAATAAATGATTGTATTGTTTTAGCCACTAAGTTTTGGGATGGCATGTTACATAGCAATAGATAATTAGAACATGTATATATTTGTTAAAAAAAAATTCTTTTGTGTGTTCTGGACCAGATTTTGTGTATAATGTATCCTGGTCATTAACACAAGGTTTGTGGCAAGCAGGGTTTATTAGAATTTGATAGTGATAAAGGAAAGGTTAAAAACTCAAGAGATTCAAATAACTGTGCTCCTGTTCCTTTCCCCAAACACTGATCTTTTTATTCTAAATGCCTCTTACCAGAAGTGAAGAAACTGGAGCTCAGACTGGGACCTTTCTGAAGATAACCTAGCTCTTAAATGATAACCTGGATTTTCTTCCAAATCCAGATCTTCTGTATATTATATTACAGTAAATATATAAGGGGTTTCAGTAATGGAGAAAAGTAATTTAAAATGTCACTTATATTAGGGGTTGGAAAAACCCACAAGGGTTTGTCACATGTTGTTCTTTGCACCCCCCCACCCCCAAACACAACCTTTAAGATGCAGAAGCCATTCTTATCTTGCTGGTCAAATAAGCCATAGGCTGAATTTATTCTGCAGATCTTCATTTGTCAGTATTGTGATAAAACACAGGTATTGATGTCATGAAATATAATATGGATAAAAATGTAGACCATCAAGTGAGGATGTAGTGTTTGATCTTAAATTTCAAGATGCTATAATGTCAGTTACACAGAGCTTTCTGGTGCATTAATTTGAAATTAATCTAGTGCACATGACTTTTTAATAATAATTTGCTTTTTTGTTTGTTTATACTTTGTTTAAAGGTTTTTCTAATGTTCCCCATCTAATTTAACTCTAGATTTAGAAAACCTGAACTGTAGGCTTGTACCCATCTGTTTCTAGACACATGAATTTGGTCACCTTGTACTTTTGAGCTCCTGTTTCTTTATCTGTGAGGTAATGGATGATAAAACATACTTTAGGTGTTTTATGTATGTATATAATATATGTGAAAGTGGTAAAATGTTTAAAAAAAGTAAGCATTGGTTAATATTTATTGTCTTAAAAATTTATGGCTGCTTTTTAAAACTGCAGTCTCTGCATTTGACAAATAAAATTATTTGTTAAGGCTTTTTTAAACAATATTCTTTTTTTAAAATAGGGAAACCATGATTCAAACGTGCCTGAAATTTAAATTGATTTAAATTAACCTGCACAAATCCTTCATTCTGTGTTAGATTTAGCACATATAAAGTGTATAATTTCATGTAAATATTCAGGCTTTTGGGTTGATATTCCTAATATAGAGCTAGTGATTTCATGAAAAGATTTGTGTAGCACTATGTTTACATAATTGCCTATTTCATCCTGATAGGGTTTTTTTGTTTGTTTTTGGTTCAGAAATGTTGTTGATTCTTGTGAAGATCTGTTAGATACACTTTTTTTTTTTTTAAGATTTTATTTATTTGACAGAGACAGACACAGTGAGAGAGGGAACACAAGCAGGGGGAGTGGGAGAGGGAGAAGGAGGCTTCCCGCTGAGCAGGGAGCCCGATGTGGGGCTCGGGCTCGAACCCTGAGCCGAAGACAGACGCTTAACGACTGAGCCACCCAGGTGCCCCTGTTGGATACACTTTTTTTACTGACTAGAGAACTATAAGTAAAAATAAAAACAATTCATATAGTATATATATTCATTTTAGAAAAACAGTAAAGTGCCCTCTTACCACCAAAGAAGTCAATTGTTATGCCATTCCAGCATATGTAGTTTTTGATTTTTTTTTTTTTAATTTTGTTTGTTTATTTGAGACCGAGATAGCGTGCATGCTTTGTGGGGGAGGAGCAGAAGGAGAGAAATTTCAAGCACACTCCCCGCTTAGCTCTGAGCCCAACATAGGGCTCAATCCCATGACCCATGAGATCATGACCTGAGCTGAAACCAAGTGGGACTCTCAAAGAACTGAGCCACTCAGGTGCCCCTAGATGTTTAAGCAGCAACTGTCTAACAAGACACTGAGGAAGATGTGTTCTTAAATAGCAACTGTGTCTGACTCCAAATACTGAGATGTTACTTTTTCTGTATCCTATCTGACTTTCTTATACCTACATTAAGTATTTTAGTTCTCTTCAGTCACTGATTTCTGTCACCCTTTGGAGATATTTTAGTTTCATTTATCCTGTTTATAGACCTCAGGTCAGGTTAATTATTACCCTTGCTATAATTTTTAATGGGCTTTGCTTTTTGGTTGGAGCCATAAAATAAAATGTCCTATCTCATCAGTGTTCATGACTTTGTATTTCCTTCCCTTTACCACACTTTAAATTTGGAAAGATATTTTTGGCACCAGAATACTTAGTATTCAAAGCATTTATCATTAGCTTTAGTGTATTATTTAAAAATAATATTTTTTTTAAAAAAGATTTTATTTATTTGAGAAGAGTGAGCAAGAGAACATGAGCAGGGCCTGAGGGAGAAGGGAGAAGCAGACTGCCTGCTGAACAGAGAGCACAACATGGGGCTCTATCCCAGGACCCTGGAATCATGACCTGAGCCTAAGGCAGACGCCTAACTGAGCCACCCAGGCGCCCGTATAAAAGAAATCAGCTTTTAAAGTAGTAAATATTTGCATGTATTTCTAGGGTTTATTTTGTCCTATTGGAAATGGCGGGGGTAGGGATGCAGTGAGAAAACTGAGTTACAGGTTTTCACGATCATTCAGTATGTCAATTATAGTCAACAGTTCACTTGCCTTAACAAGTTAACATGTTTCATAGTTTATACTAGTAGTCTGAAATGTTTCTGATTGTGTAGCACAGAAGTTCCTTTTTTTTCTTTTAATGTTATTTTTGACATTTTTTTGACAGAATAGCTATAGGAATAGTACAAAAAAATTTTTTACCTTTCAACCACATTCCACAAATGTTAACTTTTTACCACATTGTTTTTCTTGAGGACGTATGCATATGCAGACACACTTTTTTTTCCTGAACCGTTTGTCAGTTGCAGACATGATACTTCTTTGTCCTTAAATAGTTAAGTATCTATTTCTTAAGAATTAGGACTTTTACTTATTGATAGTACTATCAAAATTCAGGAAATTAACAGTGATATTTAATCTACAGACCTTATTATAATTTCACTAGCTTCCCGGTTATGTGCCTTATTCAGTTATCATGTCTTTTTATTCTCATTTAATCTGGAGTAATTTCTTACTGTTTGTAGTTCATGACCCTTCATTTCGGTTTATTTGATGTTTTCTCACATATAGGTTCAGAGTCTGAATTTTGCATAGGAGTATCACAGAATTGTTGTGCCTCATTGCCAGGTGGTCTTTGATATTGATTTGACTCACTGTGGTTAAGTTGGAATCTGTCATGTTTCTCCACTGTAAAATTATTTTTTTTCTTGGTAATCAGTAAGTATCTTGAGGATTACACAATCCTTGGTAAGTGTGTGTTTATGTTAACACACGTGTATTTCTGTACTTATTTTTTGTGCACATTTTAAAGCAGTTAGAAAAATTAGAAATTAGAAAATGAGCTACAGATACAGAAATTCTTAACATTTTCTTTTTGTACTCCAGGATATCCTTTCATACCCTATGGGGTGGGTATATACTACTCCTGGCTTTGTAGACCAGAGGTCTGTGTCATGTCCTTTACTTTGTATGGTTTTATAAAATTAGTCTTGTGTATTGATCCTGAAATAAAATGTCTTTGAGGGTTATGTTTTCATATTTATGTAGACCCAATGTAGTAGTTCAAGATAAATGCTAATGGTAATGATTTTTCCCTATTTTTAATTTTCTTGCTTTCAGATGGAGAACTAAATGTACTAGATGATATTTTGACTGAAGTACCAGAACAGGATGATGAACTGTATAATCCAGAGAGTGAACAAGATAAAAACGAGAAAAAGGGTATGTAATATTTTTAATTTTCTAAAAAATAAGTTTAGAGATTTAATTTATTAAGAAAGTGACTTTGTTTTTGTTCTTATTACTTGAGTCCGTTAACACCAAAAGTACAATCATAACAAACTGTACCCAATTCTATGTGAATAAAAGTGATCTATTTTTTTTTCAGTTGTGTGAAATGTCTCATACATGAATTTATTCCAAAATTTGCAAGCTTTGTTTTTTTATGATTAACATTTCAGAAGATATTTTAAAGAAATGAGCCTTTTTTCCCTCTTTGATACATATTATTTGTTAATCTTTGGTGAAACAAATAGAATGCCTAAAATATATTTATATGCTTTCTTTACATTGTATTTTTAAGGATCAAAAAGAAAAAGCGACCGAATGGAATCTACTGACATCAAGCGACAAAAGCCTTCTGTTCATTCAAGACAGTTGATTTCTAAGCCACTGAGCTCATCTGTTAGCAATAACAAAAGAATAGTTAGTACTAAAGGAAAGTCAGTTGCAGAGTATAAAAATGAGGAATATCAAAGATCTGAAAGAAGCAAGCGTCTAGAAGCTGATCGGAAGATTCGTTTGTCAAGCAGTGCTTCTAGAGAACCTTATAAGAGTCAACCTGAAAAAACTTGTCTCCGGAAAAGGGACCCTGATAGGAGGACCAAATCCCCTATGCCAGATGGTTCTGAGGTAGTAAATGTTATTGCAGATGTAAAACAAAGCAATTCTTTTTGAGGCTTTAGAACTATTTATTCACTCTGACCTTGTCTGTTATATGACTGCTGATTCCCTTTTTCTTTAAACATCAGAGAATTGGGCTTGAAGTGGATAGACGTGCAAGCAGATCCAGCCAATCTTCTAAGGAAGAAGTGAACTCTGAAGAATATGGCTCTGACCATGAGACTGGCAGCAGTGGTTCTTCCGATGAGCAAGGCAACAATACTGAGAATGAAGAGGAAGGGGTGGAAGATGTGGAGGAAGATGAAGAGGTAGAAGAAGATGCAGAGGAAGATGAAGAAGTGGATGAAGATGGAGAAGAGGAGGAGGAGGAAGAGGAAGAAGAGGAAGAGGAGGAGGAGGAAGAGGAGGAGGAGGAGGAGGAAGAATATGAACAGGATGAGAGAGACCAGAAGGAAGAGGGAAATGATTATGATACTCGAAGTGAAGCTAGCGACTCTGATTCTGAATCCGTTTCTTTCACAGATGGATCTGTCAGATCTGGTTCAGGCACAGATGGATCAGGTACTACTTTTTGTATTTATAAGTTTGTTTGTTTGTTTGTTTTTTTAAAACCTTATTTTATTTCTGAACATGTTTAAATTGAATTACAAAATATTTTGAGATGGGGATGTTAATAAGGTTGTCTTGGGATTTTTTTTTTGTAATTATATACTTTTGAGTAATAGTAAATGTGTTTCCCAGCTTCAAATTGATTGTGTTCTAAATGAATACAAGTCTGTTTATTTCTCTATATGGAAATGTATTTCAGGTTTTAATGTTATAAATTCTTAGATTTTCATGCTAGTCAACAGCTTATTTAAACACTGATTCTGATGTACTTGAAGTATATTGATATGGAACCTGTCTACTAGTTATTACAGTAATTCCATGTTAAATGTCTCTAGATTTCTATCATATGGTAATAGAAATTTTAACTTTTTTGGAGGGAGTACACAGTGTTTTTCCAATTCTGTACTTGTGGGTTGACACACTTGGGCGGGATCTCCCAAAGGCTGGGTGTAAAAGTACAAGAGGTGGAAAATAAGAGTTTAAGATTTTTGTGGGGAGATTGTTTAAGAGCTGTCTTGGTCATTCCTTCAGTACTACAAGTCCTACCACTTTATCACTATCTGATCTACGAGATGTAAATATAGGAATGGTAGGTAGTTGCAGTCACTAGGCTAAGGCAGGTGGGACCCTCTTTTGAGGGGAAATTCAGAGCGTACAACAAGGAGAGGTCACGGTACTTAAGAGATCCCTTGCCATTTTATGATGGTTATGCATACTGTCATAGCTGTCTTATGTCCGGATGCAGCCAGATCTGCTGTGTATTCTAAATGAACTAAAAGTTGGAATAGTAAGAAAAATTTTATTGTTTTGTTATATAGGATCTTTACAACTTCATTATTATAAAATTTTATCATTTTATAGTACATTGTTGGTATATCATTTTAAAAGTACATCGTTAGTCATATTCTTAAAATTGTATAGGTGATAAATCCAATGGCCAGCTATTTTCTATTTTTTAGAGATTGGTAACTGAAGTGCTTTCAACCTTTTGCTCATTGGAGTTCTAGTTTTGGGAGTTTAGAGAGGATTTTAAAGGGGGATAAAGAGTTAAACTGAGTAGATGAGTAGTTGAGTTTGATATAAAACTTGGTGGAATATTTTTTAAGATTTTATTTATTTGAGAGAGAAATCAAGAGAAAGCACAAGCAAGGGGTGGGAGCAGAGGGAGAGGGAGAAGCAGGCTCCCTCTGAATAGGGAGCCTAATGTCGGGCTCAATCCCAGGACCCTGGGATCCTGACCCAATCCGAAGGCAGAGGCTTAACCGACTGAGCTACCCAGGCGCCCCAAACTTTGTGGAATCTTTAATTGTACTTTCCCATTGTACTTTTTGCAAACTGATGGGATTATATATCTTTTATAATTTAGTAATGGATAGAGAACAAAAGGTGCACTGACAATATGAATGAATGTTCACTTACTGTGATGAATGTGTGAAACATCCATGTAGGGTAGGGGATATTTTATTTTAGGAATCTTCTTTTTGGTATCTATGTTAGGAACAATATTTGTCCTATTTAAGTCAAACAAGGGAGACTTATTTGAATGGGTAGGACTTAAAATAATCTGCATTTTTAACAAGCTCCTAGATGATGCTGATACTGTAGCAAGGTACTTGATAATACTTTATATTTTTGTGGATAAGGCATTTCAGATTAAATGGTAGCCAATAGTTTCATGAGCCTTGATATCAGCTGTTTATTGAAGAATTTGTTGTTTTAAAAGAGATACCTGGAATTCTTACTTTGCTTATTAAAAGAAACTGGATTTTCCTTGGAAGATCCTTTTATGTGGAACATGTTTTAGAGACTGTGTTTAGTGTGCAGGAAATTATTATTTTTAATCATGGAGTAGTTTTTCATAAAAATGTTTGAAAGAAAAATGGGAGTGGATTTGGAACTCCTTAATTAGGAGATGTCTTTTTTTTTTTTTTTAAAGATTTGTTTATTTTGAGAGAGAATGCGCAAGCACGTGCGGGGTCGGGGGGGGGGGGGGTAGAGGGAGAGTCACCAGCGGACTCCCTGCTGAGTGTGGAGCTCGATGTAGGGCTAGATCTCATGACCCTGAGATCATGACCTCAGCTGCAGTCAAGAGTTGGACGCCTAACCAAATGAGCCACCCAGTCGCCCCAGGAGATGTCTATTTTTAAACAGAAGAGATCACAGTTTAGTTTCTGTGTTACGAATTTTCTAGCTTCTAGTTTATTTTATTTTTTTTTTCTTTCAGAATTTTCAGTAACATATATAAAAGTGGCACACTTTGGTAGTCATTAAAAGTTTATATGTTAGATGACTTTCATTGTTCTTTCAACCTGAGACTAATGAGGAGATCATAAACTTAAGAACAGTAGGAGTTATTTATTTAAAAAAAAAAAAAGATGAAAAATCCTTGGAGATTTCTAATGGTATTTATTTTAAAAGTTAAGGAAGTTTTCTCTTAAAAAAAAACAAACGGGCAGGATCTTAACTTTGCTTTTTTTTTTCTGTATCATGTTAGTGAGAGATCCTTTTAGTACTTTATAAAATATTGTTTTTAATTATCAACCAAAGGTGTATTATTAGTGTTCAATTCGTAATGCTTGGACTCCTACATGTTCAGAGAGAAAAAATGATAAAGATGCTAGAATTTTAAATATAATTTATATATAAAATAAACTTAACAAGATTTTATTTTTAATCTCTTTGAATGTCATATTCATTGAATTACTGAATTGGGTTTCTGTTCAGTGCTAAGCACTATATAGGAATGTGTAGTCAGTGAACAAAACACATGTATGAGAAAGAGATTTAGGATTTTACAAAACTTCCTGTTTCTTATCTGTTTGGGTGAGGTTTTTCAGTCATTTTATATTAAAAAGCTTCAGTCTGTTCACTTGAAGTCTTACAGTTGGCCCTGAGGGAAAGGATTCCTGAATCTTTTGAAAGTTTGTGGGTGCCTGGGTGGCTCAGTTGGTTAAGTGTCTGCCTTCAGCTCAGGTCATGATCTCAGGGTCCTGGGACGGAGGCCTGTGTCCGGCCCCCTGCTCAGCAGGGAGTCTGCTTGTTCCTCTCCCTCTGATCTCTCTTGCTCTTGCTCTCTCAAATAAATAAATAAAATCTTAAAAAAAAAAAAAAAAAAAAAAAAAAACTTTTGAAAGTTCAGGTATCATTCAAAGCAAGTGAGCCCGGAAATAAATGCTTTTCTGGAAATAAATATATAGCTAGTTATTTGAGATATCATGATGCCCCCATGGTTGCTTGCTTTAAATGGGCTTGGCTTTGTAATTGTGCCAGTATGTGTTTTCCTGCTCTGCTCTTTCAGCCCTGTGTTAGGAAAATCATTGTCACTTACAAGCTTCTTGTTACATCTATTTGGAGAGACAGCAGTACATGATAAAGGGAAAGATGCTTAAACTAAATGAAAAGGAACTTAGAATGTCCTTGGAATTTTCCATCTTCAAACTGGTTAGACCTGGAATCCCCATTCAGGAGTAGTAGTAGTAAAATATCTTTTCTATTTGCTCAATAAGAAGAGAACTCAGGGCTTGTACTTTCAAGTTAGAGGACTTGCATTTGATACTGGGTTCTGCCATCCAGGAACTGTGGGACATTGGCCAAGTTGCCTAACCACTCCTCTTTTCAGTAAATGAGAATAATGGCTTTAAGTATTTCATGAGCTTGTTAGGAGGATTAGGGGAATAATTTAGCTAAATCTTTTTAAATAGGTAACTGTTTATAGTCATATAATGGAAAATTATATGCAGGACCGTTTTTTTTGTTAGCCTTCTATTTTTATAAAAGTAAATGTGTGCATATTCTTTCCATACTTATTCCTCCTTATCTTCTAGCTGAAAAGTAAAGGAACTTACAATGGTATAATTAAAATACCAATAAACAGAGACAGGAGAGCCTAATCCATTTTAGGTGTTTGTTTATATGCTTATAAAGTTCCAAATTAAGCTTGAAATTGTTCTTAAATAACAGGTAATGCAAAACCTCTTCTGTCCACCGAAGATTCTCAGCTTTTTAGTAGAAATACATAGGCTGTTGATAACATTTTAGGAATAAATTTTAAATTGAATTTGAAAACAACAGCAGTAATCCAAGAGGGATATGGTCACGAAGAATGGAATTGAAGACACAAAAGCAGTGGCAACCAGAAGAGGAATCACTAACTTACTATAGTGTATTATTATTACTATTTTTTTTTTTTTAAAGCTTTGGGTTCTGGGGTTTGTCAGACATCTAAGAATCAGTTGGAATTGTAATGAAGAATGATAGTATACTTTTTAGAGAGAGGATTTAGAACAGTGGTACCTGGTACAGAGAAAGAAACACAGTATATTTGACTGAAATAAAAGATGTGTTTGCTTTGCAGATTTTTCCCTCTTTTTGAAAATTTTAAGACTACCTTTATGTAGAGGATAAGTAGTTCTCAGTTACATGGTCATGTGTTTTTAATTTGAAGTTGGTGGGAGAAGCAATATGTTTCTGTTTTTTGAACAGTGCCTTTGAAATGGAACACCTTCTGAGGAAATTGAGGGGTTAGGGGAGAGATTAGCAATGACTAATACTTAAGGATTGTGCAAAAACCAGGCACATGATATATTCTTGTTCGAGTACCTGTACCTATATTGTAATGTTTTTAAAAATCTTGTTTGAATTCTTTTTAGATGAGAAAAAGAAGGAAAGGAAGAGAGCTAGAGGCATCTCTCCAATTGTTTTTGATAGAAGTGGAAGCTCTGCATCAGAGTCATATGCAGGTATCCTCATTTTACTTTTATTTGTGATCATATCTGACTGATTTTAATGTAATTTGCTGTAGAAAGTGTGGAGGCTGTAGTTTAGTGTGAACTTGTTGATGTTCATTAGTATTGATTTTTGGCATGTTCAGTGTAATAATTCTAGAGGAAACTAAGCTTTTTCTTATTATTTTAATCCTGTTCTGTTACTGCTTAAGTGGAATTTCACTTTTTTTTTCCTTGGAAGATGATGATTCAGTGACTAGTTTTCTGAGTGGGAAACTGTTCAAATATACATATTTTAAAAAAAATCCAAACAACCCAAAAAACAAAAACACTCGTACACATTGAGAAGTATTTTTTTGTGTGTGTGTGGGTGCGCCAGGAAGAATAATTTGTCTTGAATGAGAACTTTATGTGACAAGACTGTAGAAATTTTGTCTTATCTCTATTAAAGCTCAATCTGAACAAATGTACTTTGGCTAAATACAGGTTCAGAAAAGAAGCATGAGAAATTATCATCTTCCGTTCGTGCTGTCCGAAAAGGTATCATTTAAATTTGAAATTGTTTTCATTGCATGCTGCATAAAGTCATTATTTTGCCTTATTAGTTCTCCATTAATGGTTGGTTTTAATGTAGTAATGTTCTGATATATTATGTTAAAAGAATTAATAATGTAGTCTTAACAGACAGCTCCACATTTACTTCTTAACTGCATATCTTTTAGAACAATAGCAAACATCTTAGGATATTTTATAATTTTGGACACAGTGGATGGTTTATATATATATATTTAATAGCATAATGGTCTATTTAAATGAATAATCTGGTAAAAGAAATCTATAAAATTTATAGCTATTTTCATACTTAAATATGAATCTGATATATCGGAACATCACTAGATTAGGTTTAACTTCTTGCAGAATGCTGGTGTCTTTTCTTAGCTTTGCTTTATTATGTGTTGTGGCTTAGCTTTCCAGGTCGAATGGGTGATGATGAATTTTAAAAGTTTAGCTGGGTTGTGGAGGGCTAATTTCAGTACAGCTTACACCTCTGTGATAATGGCCTCTGGTTAATTGGTTTGGATTTTTTTTTTTTTTTTTTTTTTTTTCAGATCAAACCAGTAAACTCAAATATGTCCTACAGGATGCAAGATTTTTTCTCATAAAGAGTAACAACCATGAGAATGTGTCTCTTGCCAAAGCTAAGGTATTAGCATCAGTTCTGTTGAAACTATCCCAGTCTTGAAAATTTTAAATGGGAAGGTGGACTTGAGTATCTTAGTAGTATACTGTGATTTTCATTAAAACTTTAAAGATCCATAGCCCACTTGCTGTTTAGGATCTGCTTTGTGGCTGGTTAGGCAACCTAGTAGTAATTTCAGTTAGAGTCTTCTAAAGATGCTTTTAGAAGTCAAAATATTTGATATTGAAGAATATGTATGTTTTATACTCTGTACCGTAAGAGAGTATTTTTTTAGATTTTTGTGTTTCTGTATTCAGTTGCTAACTTCCTGTACTAACACTTCTTTAAATGTTTCTGTAATTAACCTTTTTTTTGTTTTATATTGATGCTGGTTTTACACCTTGAGATCTTCTTGAGAAGAAATCATTCTTTTACGGAGAATTTCTTTTAGTTTTAGAAGTAACATCACTTGAATTTAGAAGAAAAGGGAAAGAGCTTAAAGGCCCACCCCAATGCTTTACAAAAATGATATGTCCAGTTGCTGTAGGATGTTGTAAGATACTAATTTTATGTTTATGTTTTTGCTGCAAAAATACATTTGTCACACCATTATAAAATTTTTCTTTTCTTCGTTTAAAATGAGTCATTACAGCTTCTACTGATTGTTAGAAAGTTAATTTTTCTAAACATATTTTTGTCAGTGTTAATATCTTAATATTTCTCACAATAATAATTACCCATCAGACTTTATAAATGGAAGCTATATACCAAGTAACTACATAGTGGAAGTTTATTCTGTTCCTCCGCTAGAGTGAATTTAGGCAGAAGTACATTAAGCACTTAGTATGAATGAGATCTAGTTTGTATGAGCAGAATGAACTGAATTAGAGCTTCTGCCTTTACCATGCTATTTCTTCTGATCTTTTCATGAACAAATAATAGATTAAAATTCTTTAGAGATTAATAACTTTGTTCTGGCTCTGTGTACAACACAGGTCTCTAGTCACACTAATGCATAAACATTTGAACTTAAATAGAAGAAATGAGAAATGCTAGGAACTGGACAAAAATCTTCACTGATGGATTTACTAATACAGTATTTTTTAATTATTTTGGTTAGGCAGTTTTTTAAGGAGAAAAATGCGCTTACCATGATTCATCTGTAAACAACATGTTTTTACCACAGTAAATGGTTGTGATATTAAAATAATTGTAGGTGATTGTTTCTATTATGTAGAATTCTAGCCCATAAGATTTGACACCCCCCCACCCCAAGGTGTTTTCTAGTTGCTTTAATGATTTTGCTTAAGGTTCGGAATTTTCTCCATATTTTTCCTGAGTTTTTAATAAGTTAGTACATTATTTTAACACCTGTTAAATAAGACCTTTATTATAGCTTACTTGAATTTAAAATACAACAGTATCAGTAACCTTGGTCTTTTGCAAATATAATTGCAAAGATAAAAGATTTTCATTAATTTCTGTCTATGATCCTTATATCATTTGTGTAGGGTGTTTGGTCCACGCTGCCTGTAAATGAGAAGAAATTAAATGCTGCATTCAGATCTGCAAGGAGTGTTATATTAATATTTTCTGTCAGAGAGAGTGGAAAATTTCAAGGTAAGAATAAAAATAATTCGGATATATAAAAACATCATTTATATTAGCATCTGTATTTTATATTGTGATTTGATTCCCTTAGGATTTGCAAGACTTTCTTCAGAATCACATCATGGAGGATCTCCTATACATTGGGTGCTGCCGGCAGGAATGAATGCTAAAATGTTGGGAGGAGTTTTTAAAATTGACTGGATTTGCAGGTAAATTATACATTAGTGGAGATAATAAAATTTGCCCTTGTTTTGAATGGGCTACCAGTTGGCAGTAATGTTAAAACTCCACAGTTTAGTTTTACCTTATTCTTTCTGATTATCATTCTTTTTTGTTTGTTTCATTCCTAGGCTGATTTGAATGCAAAAAATTTAGCAGTGTTAAAGTAAAAATATATCAGTATGTTTTGCTTGTCTTGTTCACTGTCTTCATAAATACATGATGTAAAGGGCAAAGGTTTATTTAGTCGAGAGCTTTATGTATTTCATTTGTTCTCTATATTAGTAATACAGTAGTAAGTTTGTCATGAATTAGACAATTGCTTGATATGTTACCTGGATAGATCTGTATTATTTTAGTGACTTAATTATGTCATTTAGTAACTGGAATAGGAAATTAGTAGTCACTCTTTAACTTGGCTAATGTTTTGGAGGTGACTGATTTAGTTGTGAAAAACTATTATTTCTTTTTTTTTTTTTTTTTTTTTTTTTTTTTTTTTTTACTATTTTACTTATTTATTTGACAGAGAGAGAGCAAGAGAGGGGACACAAGCAGGGGGAGTGGGAGAGGGAGAAGCAGGCCTCCCGCTGAGCAGGGAGCCCGATGCGGGGCTCGATCCCAGGACCCTGGGATCATGACCTGAGCCGAAGGCAGACACTCAACGACTGAACCACCCAGGCGCCCCAGCGACTATTATTTCTTAAGGAAGTTAGCATATCATGTTTAGTTGGCATTATGATGTTTTGAACTGATGTGATCAAGATTTAAATTTGTTTATTAGAAAAAGACTCATTTTGAGCACCAAGTTATTACCACTATTTTTATGTTCTTACTGAATGATTGTGCAATGTTAAAAAATGATTAAAGAAGTAAATTTAGGTGATACAGACTTTAACACTTCATGAAATGGTCAGTGTCCTGTGGAGAACTGCAGAATGGGGCAGAAGGCAGAAAGCTTTTATAGGATAAAGAATAAAGAACAAGGAAGAGACAAATAGAAAATGGTTGGATAGGGCTATGTTGTCAACCTTGTTTGGGATAAAAAGCCCATACTGGGGTGGCTTGGTGTTTGGGGATTGGCTGATTGGATATACTGCATTTCTGATCAAGCCAAGCACAGGGATACAAAAGTTAAATCTAAGCTTCAGTCTGTTGGCATGGCACCTTGGGCACGAGCAGTTACATCCTGGACCTAGAAAGTTATTTTAACATAAAAAGCTAATTATTTGAGTGAACTTTATAATGACATGCATACATCTATTGCCTATAAAATTAATTTCAGTAAAAAAAAAATTACCTGAAACAGACCGTATGTATTTTTTGTAAGTTAAAGTTAGCTTAGGTGTTAGATTTTGATGGAGATGGAGAATGAAAAATATTATTCATGTTCTGGAAGACAAACTAGCAGAAGAGCATGGAAACACAAACCATTGGGCTGAGGAGGTGGGAGGGTGGCGGGGGGTATGTGAGTGTGATAGGGAGCCACCTTTTTTTATGAAGCAGGTGATAAAGAGAACAAAAGACAAAGATGAACAATAATATGGGCCAGCCTAAGGAGTTTAAACTTTTACTTTCGGGACAGTGAAAGACTATGAAGATACATGGGCAACTATATAGTTAAAAATAGTGCATTAGGTTGACTGTTGATACTGTTGCAAAAAGCTGTCGGCATGAAAATGTATCATTATTCCTCACACCATCATTACTTTCTATAGGGAAAAATTAGAAGCAAACTAAATTCTTCCATGTAGGAAATTGGTTAAATTTTGGTTTGTCACTTAAATGCAGAATTATCCATGTAATAACATGGAAAAACATAACAAATAAAAAAATTACATAATTATAATGTGGGAATGCAGTGTTAAGACCTTAGGTGATATCCCCCTGCTCCATTGCACCCAGGGTTTTAAAATAATAAATTTATGGCTGTTCAGAAATTAAGGTTGTAATTAAGTTACACTTAAATTATAATCAAATTAAAATTATAAAATTTCAAAATCCAGTGGCACTTTATAGGGAAAACAAGGTGCTTACTATTTTTTAGCAGAGGTAGACTGAGTCATTTATTTGGATGACTATAACTGTAAAGGCCCAAGAAGTTTGTTAGTCTATGGTTTTATGATTAGAAACATCATTGGTGTTACTGGAAAATATTTGGAGATGATGTTGCCCTAGATTAGGAAGCAAATTTTATTTTGAATGTTACTTGTTCTATTAATCTTCATTTCCAAATTGTTGATAAGGAAATTTATTTCAGAAGGTGAGCTTAATTTGTTCATATATTATTGCTTTCCTATTCCTCTTCATTGACTTATTGGCTATTTCATTAACTTGTTTGAAATGCATATACCAACAGAAGAGGTACAAACCCAAAAGTTGATCCTACTAACATTTTGTACAAAATTTTGGGTAGTAAAGTTTCTTTATTGTATTTAAGTTTTAGGTGTACCTGGAAAGAATGTCCTTTTTTTTTTTTTTTAAGATTTATTTGAGTGGCGCCTGGGTGGCTCAGTCGTTAAGCGTCTGCCTTCGGCTCAGGTCATGATCCCAGGGTGCTGGGATCGAGCCCCGCATTGGGCTCCCTGCTCCATGGGAAGCCTGCTTCTCCCCCTCCCACTCTCCCTGCCTGTGTTCCCTCTCTCGCTGTGTCTCTCTCTGTCAAATAAATAAAAATCTTAAAAAAAAAAAAAAAAAAAAAAAAAGATTTATTTGAGAGAGAGAGTGTGCACAAGTGGGGGGGGGGGGAGAGACTCTCAAGTAGACTGTGCGCTGAGCATAGAGGCCGACAAGGGGCTTGATCTCACTACTCTGAGGTCATGACCTGAGCCGAAACCAAGAGTTGGGTGCTTAACTGACTGTTGTGCCACCCCGTGCTCAGAACAAATTTTTTTTTTTTTTTTTAAGATTATTTATTTGAGAGAGGGAGCACACACACATAAGCAGGGGGAGGGAGGGGTAGAGGGAGAGGGAGAAGCAGGGAGCCCAGACACCAGACTTGATCCCAGGACCCTGAGCCAAAGTCAGATGCTTAACCGCCTAGGCGCCCTCTGAAAAAATATTCTTAAATAAAATTATAACTTTAATTTTTTTATATATAGCTTTAATTTTGAAAATACTCATCACTTATGTTCAAGAGTAGTTTTATAATACTTAAGAGTTCTGAGGGGCTTGTAATATTTATTACATTGGTATTTTCCTTGGGGTAAATCTCTTGTACTCTTAAATTTTCATTATAAAATGAGAATTATATTTGACTCAGAGTTAAAAGTATCAAACTTTATAAACAACTAACGCTTTAATTGCTGTAACTGCTATCAGATAAAGTAGTTATGATAGACTTCTTTAAGCACCCTTTGGATTTAATAATAATTAGACAAAAGTATCTTTGGGTGTGGTTCCTAGATTACTTGCATCAGTAGTATCTGATTGTTAAAATGTAGAATCTTGAGACACACCCCAAACCGATGAATTTCTGATGGCTCAGGTATTTTGTTAGACACACTGAAGTTCACAACCACATGATGCATGTTAGCAGATAGGAGAGGAGCCACAAAAAGTGACTTAAGTTGTCACTGGGAGTTAGTTCAAAATAAGGCTATATTCTATGAAATGTCATTCTTCCAGAATTAAATAAACTGATGGTATTTATGGTCACTCATTTAATGACCATTCTAGATAACCCATTTTCTCTTTTCTTTTAGAATTTTTCCATTACTCCTTTTAACTTTTAAGAATCTAATACTATCCAGTACCTAAGAACCTTTGTACAGTTGTATGTTCTTTTGCTAAATTTGCCCCCACTTAACCAGGCTCTTTAAATCAGTGAGTTACTTCCACGTTCTCTAGAGTACTCACAGTAAAGCTAGGGCTTCATCATTACATATGTCTGTTCAAAAGGTAATTTTTAGGATGCTTATTCTGTAGTTGTGATGACCATAGTCCTGCAGTTTCTCTTAATGTATTCTGAGTCCTGTTTTGCCTAGGGACTCAGAGTTCTTGGTTGAGCTTAATTTGTCAACACAGAAAAATACCTCTAGAATCTAGCTAGTTAGAACCAATGCCACCAAAGATTAACCCCAACTGACTCAACCAGCTCAATGTATGGTTTTATTTTGGACCTTCAGTATTCCATTGCTAATATTTAAATAACAGTGATAACTTTACAGTAATAATTTGTAATTTTCCTATATTTTGGTGGCTTGTAGGTTATTCCTTTCCTATAACTGTTTTTTAACTGGCAGTTTAGAGGGATAATCTAAGAAAGTATTAAAGTACAAAGAATTAACTAGAGATTTCCCTCTAGATACTCTAGACTTTGGTATAGGCTTGTTAGTATAGTCTTTTTTTCTTTTAACTTCCGATAGCCTGAAAAGTTTAAAAAAAAAAAAAAAAGCGTGTGTATATATTTTGTGTATGTGTATGTATACATTCTTGAACCACTCTTGATTTGTGAAGTAAGATCAATATTACACTAAGAATTCAAGCTTTTTAGTAATACCTAGTGGGCATTTCCGTTCCTCATAGGCCACTTCCCCTGTATGTTCACATCACCATCACCACAGAGCATGCCACCTGTTACTTTGACTTTAGATACACATTTCTTTTTTTCCAAGGTTTAAGGAAGTTATAAAATTTGAGCATTCTATATTCATCTTTAAGAAAATTCGTGTAAGATTAGAGTAAATGGTTATGTAGCTTATCCACTGGATCAGAGTTATTTGTTTGTGTTTTTTCTTCTCCATTATACCTTTGCACAAGCTCTCTCATTGCTTCAAATGTAACTCTTCCTTAACTCCTAACATTTGGCTTTTCTTGGGTCACTTTTCTTTGAGCATATGGGATATGCTACTTCCAGGAAGCATTTTTTGATTATTTTCTTTCTTTAAAATAGATACGGCCATCCATATTAAAAACAACAAAACTTGTCTATTTGTGGTACCCATTCTTTTACCAAAATAATTGTGTGTGCTTATTTATTCTTTTTTGATAGCTGTGGAAGAAAATTTGTATGTCTTTGGGCTGAGCAGTTTCATGTATCGTAGATGACAATAAATAGTTCCTTAAAGCATTTATTTAATTTGGCATTACTCACTTTATGTACACATAGATAAAACCTTATCAAATGCTGTTAATTTGATTATTCCTTGACAATTAACATGTCATGTTTACATTCAGCATTGTGCTAGGTTGATAAAGAATATAAAAATACAGGATATCTTTTTTATGTTGGTGAGACCAAATTGCCCTGTAGCTCAGAGTTTAGAGCCAGGGTTTGTTGAAGTTATATAGGTACTGCACTGTAATGTAAGTGAAGGGCATAATTAATGTGTGCAGATAGATGAATTTCTAAGTAAATATTCATATTGTCAAGAGCCATTCCATGGGTGGTAGGGAATATTGCCTTATTGAAAGGGGGAGAACTGGGGTGCCTGGGTGGCTCAGTCAGTTAAGTGTCTGCCTTTGGCTGAGGTCATGATCTCTCAGGGTCCTTTGATCGAGCCAGAGTCAGACTCCCTGCTCAGCAGTGTGTCTTCTTATCCCTCTGCTCCACCCCCCCCCCCCATGCTCGAACTCTCTCTCAGATTTATTTAGAAAAAGGGGGCGGTGACATTTGAATCTGGGAGAGCAGCTCTGAACCAAGGATAGAGAACACTTATTTTAATTTAGTATTAACTGATTAAAGTTCAGCTCTTTTGATTAGTTAATAAAAACAATTTTTTGAGTACACAAGCAAGAGATAGCTAAACATTTCATATATCGTTTTGCACACTATTTAGAACAAGTATGAAGTGTAGGTAGTGATACCCTTGTTTATAAGCTGAAGAAACTCGGGCTCAGAGAGAAGTTAAGAGAGAGCTGGGATTTAAACCATGTTCTTAAGCATTATATTAATTAGCTTTTTTTGAGAACACTGGAGAATGTGGAAAGAACACATCTCTAAAGGGGCTCCTTCCCTGGGGAATAAATGCTACTAGTCTAAGTGATTCTTTAAATTTTAGTCACATTTAAATCAAGATTAATTGCTGAAGTGTAGTTTAAGGTCCCTAAAGATTTCTGCAAAAGAATATAATTGACATTACTTTGTATTTAGGCGTGAATTACCCTTCACTAAGTCAGCTCATCTCACCAATCCTTGGAATGAACATAAACCAGTAAAGATTGGACGTGATGGACAGGTTTGTTGTTTTAATTGATTATTTAAGACACACACATTTAATCCTTTTAGATAGTTTTATCGAAGGGCATTTCCAAGCCATTTTTGAAAGAATTCATGTGATAGATTAAGGGAAAATACTCTTACTTGGAATTCATGATTACTGTGATTTTGACCGTTTAGTAAAATCTCCATAAATGTTGAAAGGCATCTTTATATGGTGTTTTCATTAATACAATTAAAAGAAAACTTTTTGAGAGAAATTCTGGTCCTGATTTTAAATTGTTTTTCATTTATTATTACTGCACTCTGCGTTTTCAGAGTGCCATTATAACATTTTCATTCAAGTTTTCTGAATAGAAGGAAGCTGTATGAAAAGTATATGTACCCAGGTTTTCAAGTCTGCAAATGAAATTAAAAGTGTGGTGGTTTAAAATAAACTCAAATCTTTGACCCCCATAGTTTCTACACGTAACTTTGAACCACAACTGGTGTGCTTTGATTGCTCATAAATGAAACTGTTGGTAGTTGAAAATAAAAACTCATTTTAAAAAGTCCATACATCAGTATCTCTTTGTAGTTAATCTAATGTATTTTAGTGTATGTCGCAGTTCCTGATTATCAAAGTTGTTGGCACACACTAACATGTTTTTCCTCCGCTGAGTTAAGGTAGATACCCTGTTCTGATACTTTTGTATTTTGCACAAAGAAATTTTCCTTTGTTTGTAGAGGACAATTGTCACAGTTTTAAGCAACTGCATTGGTGTATTAAACTTTGGAGATTCTACACTTTCAGTTTTTACCCTTATATAAGGATAATATCAAGGAAGTTTTTGGAATCCCATATGATCATCAACCTTGAGAAGGAAGTCTCCAAGTCAGTTTTTGTTCTTGTACTTCAGGAAAATACAACAAGTCTATTGAAAGTTTCTCCTGTTTTCGTCTTGTAAATTGCTACTTTCCTATTCTAGGAAATTGAACTTGAATGTGGAACCCAGCTTTGTCTTCTATTTCCCCCTGATGAAAGTATTGACTTGTATCAGGTCATTCATAAAATGCGTCACAAGAGAAGAATGCATTCTCAGCCCCGATCAAGAGGACGTCCATCCCGTCGAGAACCAGTCCGGGATGTGGGAAGGTTAGAAACGTTCTTTGGACTGATAATAGGCACATGTATCAGAATAACATGATGGAGGAATGTGATTCGTCAAAAGTTTGTCCTGCGGTAAAGAAGAAAGAGAAAATCCTCAAATCAAGCTGCATGGACTAGTTTGTGGCTTCATTGAGGATTTCACATGGTCACCTTGGTCTCAGTCATTTTTCAAGAGGAAAATGGGGATCTTTCCTTATGCAGAAAAAAATTATTTGCTAAAGAGTGATAACCAGTTTAAATTAGATAATATTCTGATCATACAATGTATACAATTGAAATGAGGTAGGCCTTTGTTGCTAAGAACAGGCTAGAAAGGAGGAAGAGGAGGAAGTCTTTATTTGCGAAAATTGTTAATATTTTGTAAAAAGCCCTTTCTTTCAGGTGTGTCTCTGGATAAGCCTTATCAGATATGGGACTTTTATAAAGGATCACTAATGTTTTTTCAGAAGATGACGCCTCATTTAGAGGATAAAATATTTTAAGTTATTTTGATATTCAAGAGGAGCATTATTGGGACTGTTTCAAATTTTACCACCGTGATGTGTTAACCCCATTGCCAAATATTCTCTAACATGTACCCAGTGAATTCACACATCTTGCTGAGCTTCTGAAAACAATAGGTTCTTTCCAAAGGGGATCAAGTGGCCCTGGGAGACCCGGCAACAAACCGAAAAGAAGGGCTGTTGCTGTGTCTATTTACAACTTTTCCAGATGCTGGCAGTACCTGTGGACTTAAAGTGTTTTTTAGAGGATCGCCATGGTTATTGATCACTACTTTATGAACTAAGCAGCATTTTCCAGGAAAAGGGGGTTTAACTTGTTACAGAATTGGAGAAGTCTTTGCAAAGGACTGATTTAAGCCCTTCTACCCAACACCTTTCCCTGTGTAGATTTGCATACAGCTAAACCTAAAATATTCTGCTAAAGACTGTTGGATGTATGGTTGATGGGATGAAACCTTTGGTTAAGTTTCCTTTTGGTGGAAACATCCTGTGGTAGGTACAGATAATCCAACAAGAGTCCCCATTTCTTTGAGCTTAAAAAGGACACTGTCGAGTAGGTAGGAGGAAACCTGGCAGAGCCCCTTATTTTTGGCCTTAAAGGACTGAACACCAAGATGTCTTTTGAAGTTTTAAGCTAAGAGGTTTCCAGTGCAATACAATATATACAAGTGAAGTTTTTACCTCAGTTTTGCAATGGACTGCAAACTATACTTATTACACCACTACACCTTCTCTCAAGCCTGCCAGGGCCTCCATATATGTATGTGGCTTACAGCTTAAAGTCAGTAGTTGGACTACTATATGAACTGTTACTATCATGTTTTATACCGGTCGTAAATGCACTCCCCAAACTACAAGAAAGCGGTATGTTTATTTTTTAAACCAGCTTTTCATTTTCTTAGTCTTATTTATTGTAGATGAAACTGTTTTTATTTTGTTGGGGGGCTTGGGGTTATTGCACTTTGCAGTTTGAGTGAACTTGTGTTGGAAAAGTTAATGAAAGCAGTTGATAAATAGCTGGAAAACTAGTAATGCCAGGTTATTACAGAATTTTTATTTGACATAAAGGGTAAAAAGATATTTATTACCAAAAAAACTTGGAATTTTTGTTTTTATTTTGTGTAGTACTTTATCAAATGCTAAATAAAATGAAGTGTATTTATGATGTATTACATTAACCATTGAGATTTATGGGAGACCGTAAAGAGCAGCCCTCTGTAGACAGTAAAATTTCACCTTCTAAAGAATATACTTTGAAATTGTTTTATGAACTCTGTTAAAACTGCCCCATTACGTTCCAGTTTTATTTTAAGGCATTGTCTCTAGAAAAAAATTCCCTTAACTCTAAATGTTATTAACTATAGAAATTAGTTTTTCAAAGTATCAAGAGTTTCAAAACTTTCCTGTAAAGTCACTTAGTACGTATCAAATTTTTTGTATGATCATGTGAAAAGCATAATTTTGTGCAAAGCAAAAAGAAATAAGACATTCTTAATTTTGTTTAGACTTCTAATAACTTTGAATATATAGATTTTAGAGTTAACGTGTTGTGTGTAATGATGATAGTTTTTTTAATTTCCTTTTTCACCTGAATGGAGACTTTATTTGAGAAAGTGTTTTGTTAAACCTGATATTTACATTAGTTTGAGGGCCGCTCATTTACTTTTGTTTAGAATACTAAAATTTGATTTACATATTTTGATCAGACTATTCTTTCCAAGTTTTTCATCATAGTATGAGGATTACAGAGAATATTTCCAGCAATACATTCAAGGATTGATTTATAATAATTAGAGGGATTAAAATTTAGAAACTTTAAGATTTGTTCACCGGAAATTAGGATGTTATTTTAAAGGAAATAATGGGCTATTCTTTGTACTTACTTCTGTCAGAAACTCTTGCATTGCTGTTTGTTCTCCCAGCAGTTTTTGGTTTAATTTCTAATGTGTCTAATTTGTGTAGGCGTCGACCAGAAGATTATGATATTCATAACAGCAGAAAGAAACCAAGGATTGACTATGCCCCTGAGTTTCACCAGAGACCAGGTTAATATTTTATAATCCTGCAGATATTTGACTTAAAATTATGAAACAACAACAACAACAACACAAAAACATTATTATAATCCTATAGTTCTAAAAGTGAGAAAACTTTAGGATGTGACTCCTTAAACCATAGGAAATTATCAATAGTTGTCACTTAAATTCTTCTACTTTGTGAAGGCTATCTATTTTAGTGTGACTCATTATCATAATCTGTTAATTACCTGATGTTGCTAATTTATAATTATTTCACAATGGAAACTGCACATATGTTTTAAGATTAAAAAGTGGTTAGGGAAAGCAGTGATCTTACCCTTTATTATGCTTTTTATTTCCTATTATACTTAATATCTTATGTGGTATATAACTTTAATTAGACACTGAAGTTACACTATATTTTCTAAATAAAAATCTTTAACATCATGTTTTTAGAGAGGAATGAGAAATACTTGGTTTTAATCTACACAGCAGCTTTTCAGCTAGTCTTTCCCTTACCAATTAAAAAAGGCAAACTGTATTTAAGAGAAGATACTTATTTAAAACAGTAATACACTTATAAAAATTAGGCAATTTGAAAATTGGTGTTAGTGAGCATTACAGCATTTTTACATAACAAGTGGCTTGATAAACCTTATTCTTTTCCAAAATGGGATAGTCCAGAGAGTGAAATTAGTTTTTCCTCAGTAACATGGCCACGCAAATGTTTTTACATTTTAATTTGCTAAGTCCTTACTAAAGAAGGGGAGAGAGAATATTTCTTTTTTCACCATGGTTCTTTCACTTAAAATGTATAATCTTCATTTTTGTGACTTTTGCAGTTTTGTTTTTCTCCCTCTTAAGTTTGCATTTTTTAAAACTATCTGGTTGACTTAGCAAAGCTTGTGTATACCTAAGATGGAAGGTAAACATTTGTTTTAAGGAAGTCCTGTTACCATTGTCCTCAAGATAATTCTTCTGCCCTTACTTTCCTTATGGTGCAGCATGAAGAAATTTTCTATCTAGCGAGAATTGGGGTATGGATTTTAGAAGATTCATATGAAAACCTCTCTAGCAGTTTATAATTCTGTGATATCAGTAAGTTATTTAGTTACTTCCTAGATTATCATGTAATCTGAGAAGAAAATCTGAAAATGGAATAATACAATAATAGCATCACTTAATAGCATCACTATATTTCATGGGAAGAATTGAAATGAGTGGTAAGGAAGGTTTAATTATAATGCCATAATAAAAAATATAAATTTGATTTACTAAAATGCTTGATGTTTGAACAGGGTATTTAAAGGATCCACGATACCAGGAAGTAGACAGGTAAGTTGGGTTCACTCTTGCTTAGCTTTAAATTACATTCTTGGAACTAGTTTATGAATTACCTGAATTTAGTTTCACAAATCTTATTCCCAACAGACGATTTTCAGGAGTTCGCCGAGATGTGTTTTTAAATGGGGTAAGTATTTTATTTTATATATTTAATGTTCATAAAACCAGGATCTGATTTACTTTATGGTTCAGGTTTGATTTTTTTTATTGACATTAATATTTTTCATTTTAGTCCTACAATGATTATGTGAGGGAATTTCATAACATGGGACCACCACCACCTTGGCAAGGAATGGTTTGTATTCTTTTCTTGCAAATTATTTAATTTCATTCGCAGTTCCATATATTTTGAATGCTTATTTGGAATGTGATTGTTACAGTTACCCATTAAGAGACTTAAAACATAAATCTAAACAGTTGGAGGGCTATTTTTAAAACTAAAGACTAATGAATAATTTGATTTGTGTTAATGCAAGTTTTAAGTGTTATGGTTTACTACTGTAGTGGCTAGTATTGTAAACTGCCTGGGTTCAAGTGCCTTCCCTTTTCAACTCTGTGACCTTGGACAAGTTTCTTCTTAGTTTTCCTTATCTGTAAAACTCAGTGGGCATTTGTTCATTCTTTGGCTCATCAAATTAATATGTAGTACCCATTCTGTGCAGGGCACTCCGCTTTACGCTGGGTTGGTGAATGAAATGGACATTGTGTCTGTCTTTGTATGGTTTGAAATTTAATGAATATCAGTGTTGACCTCATGGGAGTGTGGGGAAGATAATTTACAAAATATATGTAAAGTTTAGCATAGTGCTTGATCCCAATACTTAGTAAATTCTTTCTACAGTAAGGTTAGGGGCCCCTGGGTGGTGCAGTCGGTTAGGCATCTGATTCTTTGTTTCTGCTCAGGTCATGAGATCGAGCCCCACATCAGGCTCCATGCTCAGCGTGGAGTCTGCTTGAGATTCTCTCTCCTCCCCCTCCTGCTTGTGCTCTCTATCTCTAAAATAAATAAAATCTTTTAAAAAATTAAGGTAATTAAATCCTGTGCATAATTTTTTTTCTTGTGCATGATTTTTAGTTTTTTTTCTTTTTGTAAGAAAACTGAATATTCTTAGAGTATCTTTTAAGGTATTGAGGATAGCCAAAGCATTAGTTCCTGAGAAATAAAAAACTTGGAAGTTTAAGTAGTTCTTATTATCTTTTTTTTTTTTTTTTTTTTTAAATGCTGCCTGTAATGTGGCCTCTTCATCTGACTTATTTCACTTAAGGTACTGTATACAGATAGATGAATTATAGGATGGCTTTCCTTTAGATTCTGTGAAATTTTTAAAAAGTCAGAATATTATCTTGGCGCTAACTAGGAAAGTAATCTTCGATTTGCCCTTAACTCATTTTATAATGGCATTTAAAAATTCAGTATGTCCTGGAGGTCTTTTTATTTTTTAAGGGTAGATGTTTGCATAGTGGTTAATGATTGATCTTAGAGCCAGGATGCCTGATGCTATGTCCCAGATCCACCTTTTTACTAGCAGTGATTTTAAGCAAGTTACTTAACCAGTTGGTGGCTCAGTTTCCTCTTTTGTATACTAGGAATACCAGTACCTATTTCATTGGGTTGCTGTGAGAAATAAGATGTGTAAAGTGCTTAGGACAGTGCCTCGTTCATTGTAAGCACTGTGTAATGGTTTGTTGTGTTCTCTTAGTATTTAAAATCTTAAAGGATGTATAACTAGTTCATTATGCACGTATTTTCAACAAGCACATAAAGGGTATTTTGAAGAACCTTTATGTCAGAGTAAGTGGATCGTACAGATTATTAAATTAATTGTTTGGGATAGGTGGTTTGTATAGGGGAATTCTAAGAATGGTTTATTTGGTAGATGTTTATGGAAGTGGTTTTCTTTTTTTAGGCTCCTTATCCTGGAATGGAACAACCTCCACACCATCCTTACTATCAACACCATGCTCCACCTCCTCAAGCTCATCCCCCTTACTCAGGACATCACCCAGTACCACATGAAGCAAGATACAGAGATAAGAGAGTAGTAAGTGCACGAGAAGGCTCAAGTATGAGGGAACTACTTTGAATTCTGTTGATAATTTAAATGTGGGGATACTAGATTATGTTGAGTGGTGGACTGTTTCATATTCTTACTGAATGCTGTTTTGAAGTAATTCACAACTTGTTTTAATTAAAAATGGCTAATCCCTTTGGATTATTTAAATAGACTGTATTTATTTTCACTGATCAAGCAGACTGCGCAAGTTGAGGCAAGTTCTACTTGTAACTCTTAGCTAATGTCATAGGGATATCATAACTAGGATATTTTCTTTTGGTACAGGGGTCTTCAGTTATAACTAATTATTATTGCAAATAGGTGTTTCTAAGCTTTCTGTATATTCGGACTTAGTTTTCACAGGATAGATGGTGTGTATTAAGTTACTTAACAGGTCATCTCTAGTCTCATTTAGTTATTTGTTTCTCTGCCAGATTTTATCAATTCACCTCCTCTGTCTGATTCTTAAGACGATGCTAACAAATGACAAACAGATGTTAAGAAAGGCAGATGAGTAATTGTCCTTTAGTAATTACTGGTTCTAATAATTTGATATGGTTGATATGGAAAGCTTTTTTTGATAACTTCAAAACAGAATGAATGAAAGGCAATCTCTAGTTGGAGATTTCTTGGGTTTTCATTATACTAGTTAGAGATTGTTTATTAAATGGTTGATATTCTTTTTTTCCCTCTAATAGTACTTTTATTTTTTTAAACTGAAATTGTCTCCTTGTACTTGTTATAATTCCTTTGTGTGTAAATTTGATAGTTTTAGAAAGGTAGTTTGGTTGTTAAAGTAGGATGTACAGTTTGGACATCCCCGACCTCCTTCCCGCCACTGTACTTGACATGAGTTTTTTGGTTGGGCCAAATAAACATTCTTTATCTTCCTGCTTAGTTGAAGAGCATGCATATTTGAGAGGGCCAGTCAGGAGTAGCCCAGCCTATCTTTGAGATACTTTTATGTTAATTTATTTTCTTATTCTTGTAAAGATACTAATTCTTCAAAATCAGATCCTTTTAGGATCTTTAATATTCTGTGAGACAATTTGAGAATCCTAATTGACTAATAGACTTTTTTTTTTTCAGTCACACAGGAAGAAATACACAGCCTATGTATGATGAAATCTTAGTTGGCTAAGATGAGTTGTGGTGTTTTTTTGTTTTGTTTTGTTTTTGTTTTTTTAAAGATTTATTTATTTCTCAGAGAGAGACAGAATGAGTACAAACGCAGGGGGAGAGGCAGGCTCCCTGCTGAGCAAGGAGCCTATTGTGGGACTTGATCCCAGGACCCTGGGATCATGACCTGCGCTGAAGGCAGATGCTTAACCAGCTGAGCCACCCAGGCATCCCAAGTTGTGGTGGTATAAATGATTACATAATTTTCAAAATAGGAATTCTAAGATTCTTTTACTAAAGGGTACTTGTCCTTTTTATGTAATTTTTTGGTTAGTGTATATATTTTATGCTAATATATTCATGTATTCATTGTATGTGAGAGGTAGAGTGGAACCGTGGTTTTGAACCTTACATTCTGAATATTTGAGCTGACTTTTGAAGAAAGACCAAGTTCAGTTAAGTAAAGGTGAGTTGAGAACCAAGAGTAGAAAGCTGGAGCAGGGAACAAGATTATAAGTAGCCACAGTGACAACTTGGCCAGTTGCTCATCTTACCCTCTCTCATCCTCCTCAGCCTTTTATGTATTATTAGATCTGTGTGGAGTAGACTTAACAATCTTACTAAAAGTATTTTCTTAAAATCACGTCCTATTTCATAAGTTGTCATTAACTGGTTTAGTTGGAAAAAAAATTTGGAAGGTAAGAATTCCTCATTTTACCATAAGAGGGCAGACTTGGGTCAAGTTAGTTTGTAGAATCAAAGAAGGAAAAAAAAATAGGGTTCACCTATTGCAGAAAAACACTGATGAAACTTAGCATAGTTGGCATCAATCAGCCTTGTATCTGTGATCGTTGTTACTTTGGCCTGAATCTTATTTAAAAAATTAGATGGAAAAGTCATTGAAGTTATATAGCAAACTGCACGAAGTGAGTTTCAACAGGATTTGAATAATATCTGTTGTTGGTGCCTAGTAAGACATCAAAATCCTTTTTCTAAGCAGTATCAAAATTGCATTTTGTGAATTAATCCATTAGTGCATTTCTCTAGATTTTTTTCTCTACTGTACAGTAATTACAATATAGGGACCATAAGTTCCTTTTTTTTTTTGACATACCTAACCCATTTCTTACCTTTTCTAGCATGATTATGACATGAGGGTGGATGATTTCCTTCGTCGCACACAAGCTGTTGTCAGTGGTCGGAGAAGTAGACCCCGTGAAAGAGATCGGGAGCGAGAGCGAGACCGCCCTAGAGATAACAGAAGAGACAGAGAACGAGATAGAGGGCGTGATAGAGAAAGAGAAAGAGAGCGATTATGTGACCGGGACAGAGACCGAGGGGAGAGAGGTCGATATAGAAGATAATGCGCTTTTGGAAGCACTGATTGTTTAAAGATAAAAAAAATCTTGTATTTTTTTTGTGTGTGTGTGTGTTTACAAGTAGTAAATTTATTTTCAGCGGTCTACTTAAAGTTCATTGTGTAGAAGGGTTAATTAAATCCCTCTTTGTTCCAAGCATGCGGTATAATAAGAACTGGAAAAACTCAAATCCTCCAAAAATGCACAGTTGACAGTTTGAGTTGACACTTTTATTGGAGCAGAATGGAACAGTCCAAGAATGTAGATATTGATTCATTCTCCATAAATGTTCATCTACTTATAGTGTGTTCATCCTAGAGTTATTTTTTGTTTTTCTTTTTTTTGGATCCTGATTGATGACTGCCATGATATTTTGCTTTGATGTGTTTCTAAACGTAGTTGCACACGGTTCAGTAACAATAATGCTGCTATCAAGTATGCAAATATTGAAGTATGATGGTTTGACAGGATGGCAGTGTTGTAGCAGCCTCTTTGTTTCTCCCTTTCCCTCTTTTTTTAATCTTAAAAAGTCACTTTTTATTTTTCTTCAGTCTTCAATGATGAGAGCAATATTAAGAAGACATTGCTATCTAATTTTTAATCTTTTTAAATAAAAAATTCCTATGTTCAGTAGCATGGTTGATGCTGTCATTTAGCCTTCCCCTCCAAACTGTATACATTGGCTTGGAATGTTCACAACTTGCGTGTGTGGCAGCGGAAGATAATTCCCATATTCTACATTGCTACTGTTTTGTATAAAATAAATTGGTAAAGATTGACACTTAACCTGTTGTACTTCTTTCTTGTCTGGGTGCAAGTTTGTTTTCTTAGGCATTAGTGGACATAACATAATGCTTTGTGTTTAGGAAGTGTAGGAACCCTGGTTCCCCCCCCCCTTTTTTGCATATTTTGGCAGAAATGATTGCCCTAGGCCAATTATGTTAAAAGCGTAGTTCTATTTCTAATATAAGTACTAATGGTACTTGATGGAATTATGTTGATATTTGGTTAAGTATTTATTCTTTTGATAACATTTTTGGATCTACTCTGGTCACAGGATTGTTTTCTTATTTCGGGTTTTCTGTTGTTTTCATCTGCAATAAGTGGACTATTTTAAAGATGTTTTTCTATTTTACTTTTAAAATATACTTTTAAGTTACCTCTTACAGGTACATAGTTTAAGTTATCCATCAATCCTTCCCAATAGTAACAAGCTATATAAAATAAAGGGCCGCACAAGAATATAGTTTATGAAAGATTTTTTTGCATTTCAGTTTCTTGAGTTATACCTGAAATTTTGGCTTTTATTAAGTTGAATATTTAAAACATTTGGGGTATTTAAGTATATGACCACTTTTTTCATGGTGTCCTACTTACCTTGCAGTCTGTACCAAATCATGATCACAATTTTATATTTAATCTGTATTGGTCTGAAAAGGGGAATGCAGAAACTTCACTCTTGAAAGATACTTAAAACTATCAGTTTACTTCTTTTATATTCTCCCTGGCATTTAGAATATTTTTTCCATGCACTCATAATCAGTAGTTTTATTTACCTGTTTCAAAAATAAAGCCTAAGGATTTATTTTAAATATGTGCAGTGTGGTAGAGAAGAAGGAACATTTCTCTAGGTGATAGGGAACCTGGGTTCTAGTTGCTTTGCCTTCAATTAGACTGAAAACGGTGATATTGGTGGTCACTTCACTGATGTTTGTATTCATCAGAAACTTAATAGAAGTTAATAGCTAAGGGTTTTTTTTTTTCCCCCATGCCTTTTAAACTGAAAACTTCTAAGATGTAGTGGAATCACCAAAAATTTTTTTTTTTTTTTAAAGATTTTATTTATTTATTTGACAGAGACACAGCGAGAGCAGGAACACAAGCAGGGGGAGTGGGAGAGGGAGAAGCAGGCCTCCCACTGAGCAGGGAGCCCGATGTGGGACTTGATCCCAGGACCCTGGGATCATGACCTGAGCCGAAGGCAGACGCTTAACGACTGAGCCACCCAGGTGCCCCCAAAATGTTTTCTTAAGAAATAAGCCATTTTCCTGAAATAATAGTAATACTAATAAGAAATTGTAAATCATATTGAACAGTTAAAGGTACTTTGTGCTTCCATTACTAATTTCATCCTCCTGTAACATCCCTCTTCCTATTTTATAGATGAGGAGATAGGCCCAGAGAGATTAAACTTGCCCAAGAGGACAAAAGTAGCAATTGATGGAGCAAGTTTCCATATTTTTATCTAATTTGGTGTTTCCAAGGAAGCCATTTGATCTGTTTTGGAAAGAAATAGACCATAATATATGTTTAAAACAATGGTGCTAGGTTCTACTAAGGATATTAAACATATTTTCTTCTAGCTTTTCTTATTAAGGAGAGGATTTTCCTGAAGTGTCCAGTCACTTAGAAGTTAACCTATGCTTTGTATTTTGGGTGTTAAGCTTATTAACTATCCACTTAATTTATTCTAAAAAGCTACCATGTATTGAGTTCTTACTAATAGGCATTATTCTGTATACTTATGTTAGCTCATTTAATCCTCACAGTAACTTTTCTCCTGATTTTTTTTTTTTTTTTTTGATGAGAAAACTGACAGGAACATGGTATAAAAGATTGCTTTATAATTTTTTTCCCCTATGCAGAGGAGTCAAAATAATAGACCTGTAAAATTGAAATGTTTGATTAGCTAATTGAAGACATAATTTTTCTTACTGTGAGAGGCATGGTTTCTTCCATGGACTCTGTGATGTTAATTCTAAAAATCTCTACATTGGTAACATACAGTCCCATATGTTCAAGTCAAAAACAGAAAATTCAGTTATTCAAAGTTTAGAAATCAGTCTGGGATTTTATTATCTGGAGTAAAAGTTCAAGGGAATGAAATTGCATTCAGGTATGTCATTTCTCTTTTGGCTTTGCTTTCCCTCTATAATGGCTTTATTCTTAGTTGTAGTCTAAGTGTTCTAAAAATGTCCATCACCACCTCCAATCTTCCATTATCCATATACTTAACCAGTGTCAGAAGGAGAGAGACCAGTTTTCCACTGAGTTCTGTATCATTTTCTCAGAAGGACTGAATAGCCATGATAGTTTTCATGGAGCCAGTTCTGATCTAATGTGTGTTCAGGGAAGTGGGGTTCTTTGACCAGCCAGTGTGGGAGGCAAAAGAGGCAGGTGATAATACGGTCAGCTCCAGGGGAATTACATCAGGAAGGGCAGTTTCCAAATGACAAAGTAACAGATGTCTGATCAAATTTAATGCACAATCTCATAGAACTATTATCTGAATGTCTGACTTTTCACTCACTGAGAATATTTTGTCATAGGCATAGCTTTCTTCTGGATATCTCTTTTCATCCTGCTGTAGAATGCATTGGTCACTCTTCTGAAGGACATAGATCCTGCTTTGTCATACTATTAAAATTACCCCAAGGGATGTTGGATGTATGGAATAAGAAAAAGGAAATGAGAATTGTTGCCAGCATTTCACTGACTATTCTAGTTTCCTGACCTCAAGGTAAGGGTGACTGACACATGAATTGTTTTATCCTGATTTTTAAAATTGATTTGGATAGAAAAAGTGCCTAATGCAATTTGGTACACTTACTAAAATGAGACACATGACATTATTGGGCCAAACTTCCTTTTTGTGGGGTGGGTGGCAAACTTCTAGACCTCAAGTTCACTGTAATAGGGATAGGAATCTTAACAGCTTAATTTACAGTCATCCGGCTCATCTAATTTTTTGCCTCCTCCTCGTTTCTAACTCTCACACTTTTGTGTTTCCCTTTCAGTTTCTTCTTTCTGTGTGTCTGTGTGGCATCTGAAAGACTGTTCAATCCTACTAATGATATTCAGGGTGTAACAGGTCAGTAAACTCTTGTCGTAGATTTGGCTTCCACTGATGTCACTGAAAGGAACTTTATTTTTAAATTATATGGTAGGCAAGAAGACAGGCGGCTACAGTTAGCCTCTCAAAGTTTCTAAGGGACTCAGTGATTCTGAAATGTAAGTTGTTTTTAGCTGAAAATATTAAATCAGTTGGCAAATAACTGGCTATTCGAATGCAAAGATGTGTACTTCCTGTTCATTTGTAGTATATTTGAGAAGTAGATGAGAATTTTGGTACAAATTAAGACTTTTTAAAGATTTTATTTATTTGACAGAGTACAAGCAGGGGGAGGAAGAGAGGGAGAAACAGGCTCCCTTCTGAGCAGGGAGCCGGATGCAGGGCTTGCCCGCAGCACCCTGGGATCATGACCTGAGCTGAAGGCAGATGCTTAACCAACTGAGCCACCCAGGTGCCCTGATACAAATTAAGACTTAAGTGGTTTTTATGGGAACATTCCCTTTAGATGAAGTATTTTCCATCTATTCAACTTTAGAGAGTTTTTAACTGAAATCTATGGGGATAGAATGTTATTGGGATTAATTTTAAGCTTAGAACATTAACTTGTTCTTTTTTTATTTTTGTGTTTTCAAACTTTAAATGCATATGAAATATATACTATATACAGACTTCCTTTTGGGGATTTTGGATAAGGTTAAATCCCCATTTTTGTCATGTCTTATTTCAAAATCACATACCCATGTTCTGTTGTATAGAAAACCTCATGCAAAAACTGGGGCTATCATCATACTTTGTAAGCAGACATCTTTAGAAACCTACATTGTAATATAGCAGCTGTCATTACTGCCATGAGGACACACAGTTTTGAGAATTTGAGAACAGACCCCACTAACTTTTTATTATTAAATGTTAAATAATGGTTATGGTGAATGTTACTGATTTCCTATATGGCCACCATTCTTTTATTTATCCTGACAGTTCTTTAACTGTCACTTAAGTATCCTGTCCCACCTTGTGAATTAGGAATAGCTGGCCCCATCCTCAGAGTAGACTTGAGGATTTAGGAATAGCTGGCCCCATCCTCAGAGTAGACTTGATTGGCCTATATTAGTTTATTCCCCTAGGAACTCCTAAATCAGTAAGGGCATGGCATTCCTTTTGCCAGGGCTTGGCTTAGAACTGAGCAGTTTTACCATACATAGATAGGCCAGTGAAATGCCATGGGAGTTTTTCTGAGGATTTCTGGGAAAGAGATTTATTTGCTCTCAGGAGACAGACACTAGAAGAGATACTTTTTCACCTCAGGGAACTAAAGTATGTGACTGAAGCCTGGAATTGTTCTACTATTTTGCCAGCTTCAGGAAACTGGTTTAAGATGAATCCAACAAACAAGAAGACAAAGCCCGAATTACCTTGCATGATAGAATAGAATAGAACTTTTTTTAATCTTTGAGGAACTTTTCTTTTTCACTGGACCTTGAAACAAAGACCCTGCAAGTACAGTCAAGGATTTGGAAAGAGGTCATAGATCTGAATAAAATATAGAGGATGAGGGCGCAGGATCATTAGGGACAAACACATTATGTTAAAGTACATTTCAGCTTATCCAGAAGTCATACAGGGATATGTCTTGTAACTGGACTCATCAGATCCAAGTGTGGATGTGGAGGAAAGGTGCTCAGAGCACATTGGAGTTGCATAATAAAAAATAGGGTAAGGAGGAAAATCAAAGGAGAACTTTTATAATGTCACATTTAATCATCATCTCTGGTGGGTGCTTCAGACTTTATTGCATGCAATAAAGTCAGGCTTTTTGGTTTTTGTTGTTTATTTTGAGCCTCATTATTTTAACTCAATAGCCCACAATCGTATTTTTTAAAATTTGAGGTATAATTGACATACAACATTATATTAGTTTCAGGCATACAAGATAGTGGATTTGACATTTATATATTTTGCAAAATGGTCATCACGAAAGTTTGGTTACTGTCTGTCACCTTACAAAGTAATGCAATGTTATTAACTATATTCCCTATGCTGTACATTGTATCCCTGTGACTGCTTTTATAACTGGACCTTTGTACTTAATTGCCTTCACCCATGTCTTCTCCCACCACCACCTCCCTCTCTGGCAACTACCAATCTGTTCTCTGTGAGTCTGGGTTTTGTTTGATTTTTGTTTTAGAGTCCACATATAAATGAAATCATATGGCCTTTTTCTCTGTTAGACCTATTTCACTTAGCATAATACCCCAAGGTTTCTCCGTGTTACTCAAATGACAAGATATCATTCTTTTTATGGCTGAGTAATATTCTAGCGTGTGTTTGTGTGTGCACGTGCACATGCATGCGTGTATCCTGTCTTTACCCATACCCATTTGTTCACCAGTGGACACTTATGTTGTTTCAATGTCTTGGCTGTTGTTAAGTAATGCAGTGAAAGTCGGGGTGCATATATATCTTTGAACTGGTGTTTTCATATTCTTTGGGTAGATAGTAGTGGAATTGCTGGGTCACATGGTAGCTATAAAATTTTTTGAGGAACCTTAACACTGTTTTCTGCAGTGGCTGAATCAATTTACATTCCCACCAACAGTGTACAAGGGTTCCTTTTTCCCCATATCCTCAACCACACTTGCTATTTCTTGTCTTTTTGATAATAGCCGTTCTTACAGGTGTGAGGTAATACTTTGTGGTTTTGATATGCATTTCTCTGATGATTAGTGATGTTAGCACTTTTTCATGTATCTGTTGGCCATCTGTATGCCTTCTTTGAAGAAATGTCTATTCAGATCTTTTGCCTAATTTTTTTTAAGAATTTTTTTTTCCTTGAGAAAGCACACATGAGTGGAGATGGGGAGGGGCAGAGGGAAAGGGAGAAGCAGACTCTCCACTGAGCAGGGAGCCCAGCTCAGGGCTCAATCCCAGGACCCCAGGACCATGACGTGACCCAAAGGCAGACACTTAACTGACTGAGTCACCCAGGTGTCCCTTTTTGCCCATTTTTTAAATTGGATTCTTCTTTTGCTATTGAGTTGTTACTAATTCTTTATATATTGTGGATATTCAGCCTTTATCAGATACGTGATTTGCAAGTATTTTCTGCTGTTCTGTAGGTTGCCTTTTCATCTTGTTGATGATTTCCTTTGCTGTGCAGAGGCTTTTTACTTTGATACAGTCTCACCTTTTTATTTTTGCTTTTGTGGCTTTTGCCTTTAGAGTCCTATCTAAAAAATCATTGCCAAGATCAATGTCAAGGAGCTCGCCACCCATGTTTTTCTTCTAGGATTTCTGTGATTTCAGGTCTTAAGTTCAGGTCTTTAATCCATTTTGTGTTAACTTGTGTATGGTGTAAAATAGTGATCTAGTTTCATTTTTTTGTTTGGGGCTGTCCAGTTTTCCCTGCTAACACCATTTATTGAAGAAACTTCTTTCCTCATAGTATATTCTTGCCTTTGTTGTAAATTAATTGACAATATATGCATGGGTTTAATTTTGGATTCTGGATTCTGTTCCATTGTTTTGTGGTTTTGTTTTTTAAGTAGGTTCCATGCCCAGCGTATAGCCCCATTGTGGGCCTTGAACTCATGACCCTGAGATCAAGATCTACACTGAAATCATGAGTCTGATGCTTGCCTGACTGAGCCACCCAGGCGCCCCACCAGTACCCTTCAGTTTTAATTACCATAGCTTTGTAATGCAGTTTGAAATCAGGGAGTGTGATGCATCCAGCTTTGTTCTTTTTTCTCAAGGTTGCTTTGACTATTCAGGGTCTTGTTTCCATACACATTTTATGATTGTTCTTCTGTTTCCATTGTAAATGCCATTGTGATTTTGGTAAGAATTGCATTGAATAGGGCGCCTGGGTGGCTCAGTTGGTTAAGCGACTGCCTTCGGCTCAGGTCATGATCCTGGAGTCCCGGGATCGAGTCCCATATCGGGCTCCTTGCTCAGCAGGGGGTCTGCTTCTCCCTCTGACCCTCCCCCCTCTCTTGTGCTCTCATTCTCTCTCTCAAATAAATAAATAAAATCTTAAAAAAAAAAAAAAAGAATTGCATTGAATATGTTGTTTTGGGTAGTATGGACATTTTAACAATATTAATTCTTCCCATCTGTGAGTACAGAGTATCTTTCCATTTATTTGTGTCTTCAGTTTCTTTAGCAATGTCTTATAGTGTTCAGTATACAGGTCTTTCATTTCCTTGGTTAACTTTATTGCTAGGTATTTTATTCTTTTTGATGCAATTGTAAATGTTTTTTCTTAATTTCTCTTTCGATAGTTCATTATTAGTGTGTAGAAACGCAACAAATTTTGTATATTGATTTTGTAGCCTATTAACGTTACTGAATTTATTAGTTTTAACAGTCTCCTGAGAGCATCTCTATAGGCCTCTAGAAGTGTGCTATACCAGAAGGCTGGCCCTTAGGCCAAAGCTCCTGGAAATAGGCCTCTCTCTCAGAAAGACTGAGGATGTGCTTCTGTCTGCTATCTGTGCAGTACCCTTGGGATAGTAATCTGCCAAGAGCTGCCTTTCCAGTTGTTATAGCCCATGGGACCCAGGAATGAAAGCCCCACAGGCCTCCCAGGGCTGAGTGATCAAGGGCTTCCCCTGAGTTGCAGCCATAAGGTCAGGGACACCAGATGTAAAAATTGGGGATCAGAGGAGTGTAAAAGCTTCCCTCTGGGGAATTCTGGCACTCTGGAGAGTGGTTGGTAGAGGGAGAGTATGAACATGATGAGGAGGGGGGGGATGTTGTCAAAAGTGGCTCCCAGCAGCCTCCATCCCCTGAGAGTATCCCAAAAAACTCCTGCCTTTCTGGCCAGTGCTTTTAAGGTTAGCAAATGAGTTTCTTTCACACAGGTTTGGAAGCTTTTCAGATAGCTGCTTCTGCGCTGGGCCCTGTGGTGAGTGATTCTGCATGCGAACCCTTTTTAAGAGCTGTTTCTCAGTTCATTACAGTCCTTTGGGTCTTGTGGACATGAGCCCATTAGCTTTCAAACCATGCGTTTTGGGGGTCTTAAAGTTGGGGTGCCCAGGGGCGTCTGGGTGGCTCAGTCGTTAAAGTGTCTGCCTTCAGCTCAGGCCATGATCTCAGGGTCCTGGGATTGAGCCCCGCATCAGTCTCCCTGCTCGGCAGGAAGCCTGCTTCTCCCTCTCCCACTCCCCATGCTTGTGTTCCTGCTCTCGCTATGTCTCTCTCTCTGTCAAATAAATAAAATCTTTAAAAAAAAAAAAAAGTTGGGGTGTCCAATTTGGGGGACTAAGCCTTTGCTCTTCAGGAAGAAGTTTCAGGGTTGTGAGTTCCCTCCCAATTGTGGTTCACTGCACTGGGGGTGGGGTTTAAGTGAGATTGGGTCTCAAGCTCTCCTGTTTGCCTTAATGTGGCCTCTTTCTCATTTGCCCAATGTAAAGGCATTGCTTAGCTAGTTTTAAGGTCTTTCTCAGAAGTAATTATTACATATGTAGCTGTAGATTCCATGTGTCTGTGGGAAGAGACAAGTTCAGGATCTTTTGTACGTTACTATCTTGAACTGCCTCCTCCAAAAACACTATCTAGTCTTAGAGCTTCATTAAAAAGGTTAAGCAAATCTGAACTAGTATTTGTAAGTATATTCAATACAGCATGTCAGTAAATTTACATTAAATTCAACAAAAATGTATGATACGTTTTCAGTGGGATACTTTGGGAGATAAAGAGATAAAAAAGACAATCTTGGGCGCCTGGGTGGCTCAGTTGGTTAAGCGACTGCCTTCGGCTCAGGTCACGATTGTGGAGTCCCAGGATCAAGTCCCGCATCGGGCTCACTGCTCAGCGGGGAGTCTGCTTCTCCCTCTGACCCTCTTCCCTCTTGTGCTGTCTCTCATTCTCCCTCTCAAATAAATAAAAAAAATCTTAAAAAAAAAAAAAAAGGCAATCTTTGCCTTCAAGGAGGTTAAATCTTATATGGAGATAAAATACATATTCAGGGGGCGCCTGGGTGGCTCAGTCGTTAAGCATCTGCCTTTGGCTCAGGTCACAATCCCAGGGTGCTGGGATCGAGCCCCACATCGGGCTCCCTGCTCCTCGGGAAGCCTGCTTCTCCCTCTCCCACTCCCCTTGCTTGTGTTCCCTCTCTCACTGTGTCTCTCTGTCAAATAAATAAATAAAATTAAAATAAATAAATAAATAAAATAAAAAATAAAATACATATTCAGGGAGAATGTGAGTTTAAACTCAGATGATGAAGCAGGATTGTTTGGGGAAGTGGATGAGATTTAGAAATGGTATAGACGTATGGGTGGGGTTTTGGAAATGGGAGAGGACTATAGTTGAAAATGTATTCAAGGCTATGTTAGAGCTAGATTGCCAGGAATTATTTGCTGGGGTTGTTTTTTTTAATGTAAATAATACTTCGGAAAATTCTGAAGTACTATAATTATCTATTGAAATTACAACAGTAGTAGATACCCCTTGAACAAATATTAAATCAAAAAGTACATAAAATGTGATAGTCTCACTTTCCAATCTTAATTTCCATGGGCAGCGTTATCAGTTTGATATTTATTATTCCAGGCTTTTTAAAAATATTTATATAATCATCTGTATGCTTTGTTTTAAGATTATTATTTTAGAAAATAATGTATATTTTTGCAAAGAGCTTTTTTGCACTGCACAGTGTACCATGAACATTCTTCTCAGTTAGTGTGTATTGAATGCCTTTTTTTCTTTTTAATGGCTTCATATTTTCTAATAATGAATGTACCAAAATGTCTTTTATCCATTTACTTATCCTTGGACAGTTACAGAACTTCTAAATGTTGCTGTTACAACTATGCTATAATGAATATTCTTGTACCTATATTTTAATACTTAAACTATTTTTCATAAGATAGTCTTGAATGATATGGTTTGGTCATTTTACATTTTGATAGGTATTGTCAAGTCATTCTTCAAACAGTTGTACAATTTACTTAAACAGTCTCTGAGATTTGCCCATTTACTATATTCTCTTATCAGTACTAGAATATTTAGAGCCCTTAAATTCCTGTGAGTCTAACAGGAGAAAAACATTATTTCATTTTTGTATTAGTTTGTGTTTCCATACTTACTTATAAATTTGAGCATCTTTTCATAAATTCATTTAACCATTTATATTTCTTTTCACGGCAATTGCCTTTCCTAGTCTCTGCTCATAGATTTGTGAGTACTTTTTTATTATGCTTTAAGTATGTGAATAATACACACATGAATATTAATTGTTTGTGATGTGTATTCTCTACTAATGATCAGTTATCTGTTTATGGTATCTTCCTTCATACAAAACTTTAAATCTTCATACGGTTAAATACGTAAGTAGTTTATTTATGGGCTCTTGATTTTCTGCCGTTTTCACTGCCAGTTTCTTTTATATATTTTTAAATTTTAAAGTTTTTTTTTTTTTAAGTGTGTACTATTTGATCTGAAATTTCTTTTTCTAAGAATATGGCTTTGGGATCTCATTGCATATTGTCCCAACACCATTTATCATTGAGTAATCATGTCTGAATGATTTTCCAAGCCTCTTTTATCACACACTGAATATCTGTATACACCTGGTTCTGTTTTGGATGCTGTTCTGATACTTGATCTCCATATCTATGTCTGCACCAGGGCCGTATTTTAAAGCTGTGGTCCACCCTGTGTGTATTGTTCACTTTCAGTTTTCCTTTTTGTACATTTAATATTATTCCATAATAACAGTATAACATTTTCGTGCCTTTTAAAAATATTTTTGGGATTTTGAAATAGATTCATTGAGCCCATTAACTCTTTGGAGGGAATAGTTTAAATGTTGAGATTACCCATCCAGGTACATGGTAGTTCTTGTCATTTTTTCATGTCTTTGTTTATGTTTTTAAGTAAATCTTTATATTTTTCTTCCAATATGTATTACACATTTCTCATTAGGATTATTTTTATTTATTTTATGTTTCTGTTGCTATTGTGACAAATTCTACAATACCTTATGATTGATTTTTTTTCTCTCTTAGGAAATAAACTGATTTTTATTTATTTAAAGATTTATTTATTTTTAGGGGTCAGGAGGGGAGGGGCAGAGAGAGGGACAGAATCTTCAAGCAGACTGTCTGCTGAGTGTGGAGCCAGAAGGGAAGTCGGGCTAGATCTCACAACCATTAGATCATGACCTGAGCCAAAATCATGAGTCAAGATGCTTAACCAGCTGAGCCACCCAGGCGCCCTGGAAATAAACTGAGTTTTGATACTGCTCTTATATTTGGTCATCTTACAGAATTTAAGTAATCTGTGATAATTTTTCATTTGTTGTGTTTGATTTTTCTCAACACCATATTACTCACAAATGATGACAAATTTTCTTCCTGTGTTCCAAATTTTATTATTTTTACATATTTTTCTTTTGAATTGGCCAGGCTTTCCAGTACAGTACTGAATAGTTAAGATTAACAACTAAACATTCTTGTCTAGTTCTTGACTTTAATGATAATACTTCATTGAGGAAGGGGAAAAAAACCAACTTAGCAAAAACTTAAGAACTCATACTTGTGGTTGAACATATCAAATGGTATCTATGGGCTTATATTGAAAAAGAAGTATCTTACGATCAGCCTTATTTAACCATTTCAGTTTCTGTTTTTGCTGATAGTTGTCACATCTCTAAATAATAGTATATAGCTGTTTCAAAATTTATAAAGTTTAGATAATATATATGTATTTAATAAATTTATCCAACCCTCATAAAACTTTTGCCTCCTTCCAAATCAGCCGTATTTTTAGTCTCAGTTCCTCCACTGAGAAACTGTGACCACTATCTTTTTTTTAGAGAAAGTTTCACTTGTCTCTTCATTTTGTAAGATGAGGAAATTGGTTCTTCTTTCCTTCTACTTACCTCTTTACCTCCATTAACCTCCTGCCTTCAGCTAACTACTCTAAAATATGCTGCTTTTACATTGTCAAGGTTGATAACGTTTATGTTGTTTTGTAGCTGTAGTTAAAGCTTCTGTCATTTGTAGATTGATTCTTAACATAGTCCATAAATACCATTTTCTTTGCTTTGTATATTGCAACTATTCACTCCAAAGCCAAATATACTGCTTGCTTCTTTATGTGTTACATGTCATGACACCCATGCTCCTGAATGGGATAATATTCCTAGGGTAAATTTTAATTGGATTTCTCCCCCCCCATCTTTCTTCCTCTTTTTCCTCTTTATCTCTTTACCTCTTCCTCCTCCTCAATCCCCTTCAACACCCCCTGCCAGTAATTTTCTTCATTTCCTCACTTTTCAAGTTTCTCAGTCATCCTCTCTTTCACTTATTTTTTAACCAAGAGGTCTTCTGCTGGAGGCATGTGTCTTCCTTTTCCAACCTGACTATAGGACTTGGCCCAGCAAATCCACAGAATCACTGTTTAGTGATTCCAATTTCTTTTTGTTTCTTGGTTTAGAGTTTTGTTTTATTGGAGTAAATTCTTCACATAAGTACCTGAGAAAGTTTAATAGTCATTAGTGCTGTTTACCATATATTTTTTTCCTCTGCACACACCACCCACCTTCTAGGTTTGTATGTTTCTACTGCCTAAAGTTAACTTGCTTTCTTTAGTGAAAAGCCTCTTTTCTTATGTGAGAGTCACCAGATAGTGGCAGTTTTGTCAGCCTGGCTTCTAGGGTGAGGATAATTTGACACAGAACTTCCAGTGTAACTGCAGTGGACGTGGAACATGAGAGAGAAATACACCTTTATTGTTTTAAGACTGGAAAATTTGGGGGTTATTGCAGCATAACGTAGTATATTCTGACTGATGTAGGAAGGATGTGTGAGTTTGTCTTAATTCCTAAAATATTTGAAAGTCTGTTTTCTGAATACTTGATAGCTAATTTGGAGAGATGTAAAACTCTAGATTAATAAAATTTCTCAGAAAAATAAAGACATTGATCTGTTGTCCTAGCATTTCTTGTTGCTGATGAGATGCTGGGGGAAGTATAATTCCAGTTCCTTTGCAGGTAATCAGAAATTTTCCCTTCCCAAATCTTTTAGGATCTTCCATTTATCCTCGTTTAAAATTTCATAGTAATGAAAATTTTATGCATCCAGCTTGGCTCTCCATTGGCTGTTTTTGAAGATCACATACATGTCTACTCTGGAAAACTTCATTGCATTGTTCTGCTAATTGCTGCCTTTTTACCTTCTCAGTTCTTTTTTTCTTCAGTTTATCTTACTTGGACCCCTACCTAGATTAATACTTTCTCTCATTTCTCACACTTTTTGTTATCTTTGTCTTTTGTTTATACATTCTAAGAGATATCCTTATATTATGTTCCAACATGTCTTTTGTTTTCACGTATTTCAAGTTCAGCCACTATATTTTTATCTTTCAAGAATGTCTCTCTCAGCTTAGTTTCCCCCAGAAAGCTGCAGTTAAGACAAAGGTTTGCATGTTAGTATTTTGTTTCTCGAACTGATCCTATGAAACAGGAGTGTGGGAAAAGGAAAATGACATAAGGAAGGAGGGAAAGCCAGTACCAAGGTATCAACCTGGTCACTGTTGTGGAGAATTGGTTTCTGTCCTGCTGGGACCATCTACAGTGGTATGTAGAATAATGGTAGAGGAGAGAATGTATTATGGCTCCTGTCTCCCATTTGTCAAGGGTTCTGTATGGTGTATCTCTGCTGTATTTGGATCTTCATGTGGTCAACAGAGGTTCTCATAGGTGTCCCACACAGTAACATCGGAGAGACTCGGGCAGAAAGCAAGATTGTGCAGGACAGCTGGTAAGTGATTGGTTATCTCTTTAAGGAAGCTGACTGATAATGCAGTGGCTGAAGGGAAACAAGGGTTGTGGCGGGATAGCAGTGAAGAGGTGAGGTGGGGCAAAATTAATGATAACTATAGTCTACATTTTGCAATGCTCTTATCCCTTGGTGCCCTCTCTTAAGTCCATTCAGTGACAGAGTTTTCAACATGGTGGCCAAGTTCAGCCTTTACAAAGGGGTGTTAGTAAGAACAACCTTTTGTCCTCACTGTGCAACTGGTTCTGAGGGAATAAGTATTTATCATCTTCCTCCTTTATTACAAATTTCATATTTCCCTCTCTGTGGGCCAGCAGTTTGGCTCTTTGTTCTGAATTATTAGTCTGATGGGATGACATGAGCCTTCATCCCCAAGTTACCTTAGCCTTCTTGGACATGGTTGCTGCAAGTACATGCTTAAGAGTTAACCATTAGGCACTGAGTTCCTATCTCTCTGAATTTTAGGCATTCCTTTACATCTCCTGGGTCTTGGAACAATCCCTATTTCTTTCCTATCATGTAACTGTGATCCTAATCAGAGTAATTGTCAGAGTCAGTTGTCCCCACTAATAACTATTTTCTGTCTCACTGATACGAGGAGTCCAAAATGACCAAGTCATAGCTTTAGTTGGTGGAAACCTTACTGTGTCCCCTGATAGATTTTTCTCTATCAACCTACCCTCAGAAGCAGAACCCAGAAGAATCTGGGGATTCAAGATTTTCAGGCTTTTCCCCCAACCCCAGGTCTCAGGGTTCCATTCTTTTTCTTTCCAGGCCCTGAGTTTGGCATAGGAAGCCTGTTGAGGTTGTGAGTTGGGTCTCTTTTGTAGCTCTGCTATCTTTGCCATTAAATTCTAAACCTGGTTTTCTGATGCTTTAGAAGAAAAGAGTCTAAACACTACCAAGGAGAACTTCTTTCACAGCATCTTTCGATTTGATATTTGTTTAAACTGAGCTGTCATTTTGTTTTTACAAGCCTTCTAAAACTGTTAACAAAGCTTTTTTCACTCTATATACTATGTAATTAACGGTTGTGCCCATATAGTCTGTAAGTCAGTACTTTACTTCCCCATTCTTTACTCCCCTGTATGAATCAAAAATTGTGATTTTACTGAATTCTAGGAGTTGTCACCCTTGCACATGTCATCAGCAATGAGATGATTCTTGCCAGTTACGAGTGAATTGTCCCATTCCCAAGTTTCATCTTGTGGATCTGCTTTTAAAGCCAGCTCTGGTATATGTGATATCAGTCTGTGTTCTCCTCAGAGCCTGAGATAAGGATCAGAATGCAGTAGTTTATTTTGAGAAATGCAAGGGTTCCGGGAGTAAAGGACAGGGAAAGGTGAAACAGGAAAGTCCAGGAAAGGGAAAAAGTCAGTACCTGTGTATTACAAAGCTGATCATCACTGTGGACAAAGTTGATCATCAGTAGGACTTAATCCAACTGAGACCCAGTAAGCAGCTATGGAATATACCCACAAATGACTACCTGAAGGATAGGAGAGAACTGTTGAACATACTGCTAGATTATACACATAAGTGCTAGATGAGTTTGTTTAGCAGTTGTATGCAGTGGTGCATGGTGCAGAAAGTGAGAGATCTGTGCTATTAGGTTATAACTGTACAGTAACTCCTTGTCACAGCAAAAACTGGAGGAAAAAAAATGGGCTTGAAAAGATAGGAGATGGGGCATCAGAGGTGTGAAATATACAAAAGCTCTCCCTTTTTTGTTTTATTTTACAGTATATTGTATGGATTAAGTATTTTTGATATCTGAAGTTACTAATACAGTTAATCTTTCATTTTTAAAAATTCTCTCTTCATTAGGTCCATTGTGAGGGGGTGTGTGTGTGTGTATTTGGCACTAAAATACACACATTGCCATTTTATTAGCTTTCCCCAATGTTTGCTAATCTTTGGTTGTCTGTTTATATTTAAGAATGAGGCAATAGAATGACTCACTGGGATCTCTTTGTACCAGTGAAGGACTTGATAATGATGGATTTTTGTTTGTTTTTTTAAGTTCATCTAAGACTTTTATTTTTGGCCAACTTTGACGTTCATGCTGTTTGTATATACTAGGCATTACCTAAGGGGCCCTGTAAATGTCAGAATAAGAAAGGCTTTACTTAGATGTGTTACATTGATTCTAGTTAATTTATTTTACCCTAGACAATTTATTTCCTTTAGAAAAGGACCCAGATTTTTTGGTGGTGGGGAGAATAAGGAGGGTAGAGGTAGATAGGGTGTAGGGACCATAGTATAAGTGTCTAGCTTCTAGACTTTTTTTTCTTGCACCAGGATCCAATCCAGGATCATATGTTACATTTAGTTGTCAAACCTCTTTAGTCTTTTTTAATCTGAGATAATCTTTTAGTCTTCTTTTTCTCTTAATTTTAACACTTTTGATGAATTCTTGGCCAGTTATTTGATAGAATGACCTTCAGTTTAGGTTTGCTTGATGTTTCTTTGTGATTAAATTCAGATTGTGCATTTTTGGCAAGGATATTGCAGAAGTGATGTGCTCTTTTCGCTATCATTTTCATGAGGCATATGCTGTTAATGTATCTCATTAATGATACTAACTCTGATCACTTGATTTAAGATGATGTCTGCAGGTTTCTGCACCATAAAGTTAGATTTTTCCTTTTAAAATTAAGTATTTTATAAGGAGATACTTGGAGATTGTGTAAATATCCTGTTTGTCATCATGCCTTTGCCTTCCAATTTTAGTATCCATTGATAGATAATTCTTGCCTAAAACAAATATTACTGTGGTGTCTGCCTACTAGTGATTTCTGTATCCATAATTTCTTCTATAATTATTAATTGGAATTCTACCATGAGGAAGAACACCTCCTTTCCTCCACTTACTTATTTTTGTTTCTTTCAATATAGATTTATGGATATTTCATTTATCCTATGAGTCATGATCTATAACTATCATTTTTTTTATTTTATTGTTCAAATTATTCCAGATCTGATTCAATGGAGCCCTCTCCAGTTGTTTCGTATTTCCTTTTGACATGTTCCCATCATTTAATATACTTCAAGATGATTCATGCTTATCTTGTACTTTTCTTGTTCCAGAACTAAAATCAATCATTTGTCTAGGAAGCTATGGTTCCTATTATTGAGGAATAATACCTAGAAATTAAGATCTGGGTTGTAGCTATGCTCATTGTTGCTAGGATGTTACTGCTTCTAGGCCCTTCCTGTCAGAGTTGAGAAATATATGTATGTACAGTGTAACTTTTATTGGCAGTTGAGAAAAAACATTTTGATCATTCTAACAAAAAGGCAGGAAAAGGAGAATGCAGTGAGAAAAAACATGGTAATTAAATGTTAAATTGTTACAGGTAAGTGCAAACTTTAATGTAATACATTCATTTCATTTAATGTAATACATTTACATTAAATATGAATTAAATAAACTCACCTATGAAGAACGAGTATCAGACTTTTTAATCCACCTTTTATTGTTTAAAAGAAAAATAACTAATACAAAATGACCTAGAATTATTTTATATATGTGTGTATTTAGCCAGTACTAAGTGAAAATTAATGTAGTACTATTAATATCAAAGTAGAATAAAAGATGCAAAGTACAACGTGTGATAAAGAGAAACATTTCTATGGGTAGAAGTAATTCACTACGAATTAACAAATAAGAAAAATTGTAAGATTTTAGTATACCTCAGAAACTGATAAATCAAGCAAACGAAAAATTCATATGAAAATTCTTTTGGTAACAAAAGTTGGAAGTTGCTTATTTTAGCAACGGAAGTGACAAGATTCATCAATTGAATTCGGCAGCTCACAGAATGTATATACATTCTTTTCAAATGCAGATGAAAAACTTTTAAAATTGAACTTAGGGTCACAAATTCTAAAGTAGCTCTATAAAACAACTCTGGACTATAGTGCAGTAACATTTTTAAAAATCATTAAAAGGAAATACCCTTTCCCCAAACATAGACATTTAAGAGTACCATTCAGTGTAGTAGACGGAGCTGATTTTAACTGACTCAACCCTTTTCCACTTCTGCTTCAATTGCATATACATCCTGAAGAATAGACAACATAGAACAACATACACAGCCAAATATGAAACCAAGAAAGGATATCTGCCAATTGTTAGCATAAAAGTAAATACCATAAATAGATGCTTATAGGAGCTATTTAAAAAGTGGCTTTGGGAAAGAATCAAAAAAAAAAAGATAAGGGCCTCAACAGTAGGCATCGAAATTTACTCTTTCTGTAGAGTGCAGTGACTTCAGGCTAAAAGAGTAAATTGTAATGAAACTGGTGATCCTGCTAGGCTGCAGCAGAGGCAATCAAAAAACATTCTGAAGGGATGCTTTCACAATACAGGATGTGTGGAATGTTTGCAGAAATCAATACCTGTTTAAGATTAATTCATGAAAACTACATGAGGGGATAACCAACTGTACAAAATAGGATGATTTGCACTTAAAGATTGTAGATAGAGAAAAAAAGTTGTTTAGACATGAAAGAGTGGTTAACATAAGAATGGACTGGGTTGAGAAGGATGTATAAAACCACCATTCTAAAATTCTAGAAATCAGAAAGTCATTTATTACATGAAATATAATTGATTATTTGAAATAAAATAGAACTGAATGGTTGAATAGAAGAATGAACAAGACCAGTTGTAGAGAGAATTAGTGAATTTTCTGTTTTCCTGACTGAACCTTAGACAAAGGCCCTAGGAATTTCCAGTAAACTGATTAAAATATAGGTGTTACTTGCCAGCCCCTTACATCAGAGCCCTCCTAATTACTTGTTGTTCTTCTAAAGCTCTCTTGTTTCTAATTGTTTTCCTGACCTTAACCACCCATCCTGTGCTTCATTGCAGCATTTGTGATTGAGTCACTGTATTTGCCTCAGTTTTTGTCATTCCATTCCGACACTTGTAACTTAATCATAGCTCCAAAAGTCGTCATCTTTGGGTTAGGATATTTGATTAATTTTTACCAGTTTATATCATTTTCATTGATCTTATTGCTTTGTCAATCACTCTGAGCCACTGTCATCCCCAGAATTCTTTAGATTTTTCACAGATAACAAATTTACCCTTTGTAGCTTCTTGTCACCAAAGAAGAGTCAGTAGAAAAACACCACAGTAGAGAATGAGTGCAGTACATGCAAACAACAAACCTGAATAGACAAAAACATACAAAAAGATAGCCAGTGAGATAAAGAATTAGGGATTTGCCAATTAAATCAATGAAATACATTTCCATATCTTTTGAATTGGTAAAATACATATCCACGGTAGGAGAGGCACCAAATAATGGATCACTCTAGTGCTGGTTCAATGGCCGGCTGAACAGATTGGTGATGAGTGCAGAGTGGTTACATGTGGGCCTAACAGAATGACTCCCTCTAACCACTACTGCCCTAGCTACTACTGATACAAAGACTCTAGCCTGCTAGTGTGTCTATTCTGATTATACATTTGGAGATCAATGAGGCTACAGACTCCGTGGGCCTCCTTCGGCCTCATCTTTGAGGCTGGACTTCCCTATAACCCCCCATTTCACAAACTTCATTTTAAAATTATTCATCTGAGTTTTACCATGATGCAGTGCCCAAAGGTACAAAATCTTTGGGATTCGAACAAATGAGAAATGTGGAATACCATCTGCTGTGCCAGTTTTCAGTGTATTGTGTCTCAGCTTCAGATTCAGCTTTGTGATATTGAATCTGAACACTGTCAACATTTCTTCTTTGCCAGCTGGCTAAATGTCAAGCTTCATCAGTAGAGGACATTGGGGCGACTGCATAGTGTCAGGGGGACCCATCCCTTTAAAGGCCTCATCTTTCTTTATTATTCAGTAATTTTTGTGACTCTTGTTGGATTTTAAGAACATGTAAAGAATGTATTTCAAAATCCTAAAGATATACTAAACAGTATAAGAAAACTAGTAGTATATTCGTATTACTTATCCTTTAATAAACATTGCATTCTATATGGAATATGGAAATTAAAACTCTTGGTTACATAGTTCCTGACATAGATGGACCCAGCTTCCTACATTATTATCAATCATTTGATTTTTGTCTTCGACTTCTATGGTGCTTATGTAATTCTGGTTGTAAGCAATATATTTGAAATAAACAATACTAGCACAGAGATTATAAAGATAAAAAAAGTTACATCAGTTCTGTCATTTTGTGTAACCACTTGGGAGTTTTGTGTTTAAATTTTTTGGACTTAGACATTCCAGAACCGCTAGAATCAATCTTGAAGAAACACTTGGATAGTATTGCAATTTTGGGGATTTATAATGGGATTTTTGTGACTCTGCTGAATGTGTCTTTATGTTTACATCTTTTCCTAATTATAAGTATTACATCGCTTTATGGGAAACTTTTCAAAATTAAAAGGAATGAGAATTCCTGATCATCTATGATTGGACATAGGTTTATGTATCTGGCTGTATGGTCTAAGGATTGCAAAGATCAATTTTGACAAAGTCATCATTTGCAGAAGTTACTGCATTAAGAGAAGTAGATTGGAATTCAGCTTGGGTAGTACACGCAGAGCTTCATTATGCCTCAGGCTAACGTGTATGTGTAAGGTTTCGCTCCTTTTCTGCCCCCCCCCACCTCACTATTTTTTCAAAAAGAAATTAATGTAATTAAAGAACATTAATGCATTACTTTTTTCTTCTTTGTACTTTACTATTTATTTTTTACTTTTTAGTGAGATGATTATATATTCTAAGTTTAATAAAAGAAAATATTCATTGTTTCCTTTCTGGATATTATTATTATAATTAGTTTCATCAGTGATTATTGCTAAAAGTAATTTTGTTGTATAGAGGAATGCTATAAAAATCTCCTCCATATAATCAAAAGTGCTAAGAATGCCTCATTTCCATCCAACTGTTTAAATATATCTCCTGTCACGCAGAAGAGCTGCTCTTAACTTGGTTTGCTTTTTCTTTTTGTGGTTTACTTTGTAAGTTGTGTTCTGAGTCTAAAGGCTCTATTACCAATATTTAAAGGCAAGCGCTGGAGACCTTTTTGCTATTTCAAATGCTTTCTTATGCATGTACTTTAAAAATTGTTGCACAAAATATTTGGCTCTTTATGTCATCTGCAATTTGCTTTTCTGTGTGATGTGAGAAAAGAATCAATAAAAAGGTTATGTAAGTTTCTGTTTTGATATCCTCAGTATCCCATGTATTAAAGGAGTTGGAAATATCTGACTTGACAGGGTAAGGCCAAAAAATGGGAGATTATTATAGGAGGAGGGGAATCTTCTAACATTATAATCCAGAGGAATTGGACTAAATCTTGCTGGGCCCCACCTATCATTTCTATTCTTTTATTTCGTGTCTTACTATCCAGTTATAAAGGTTGTTCAATAAAGTGAGAACAGGAATTCAGACATATCCAAGGCTTTGTGTGGAAAATATCTTTGTCCTTTCAACGAAAGATTTTACTGGTTGCATAGTTTTAGGTAAGAAGCCAGTTAGAACCATTCAGAATTCCTGTAACAAAGGAAATTTACAGGAAAGAATATTTTGTATATCAAGAGGGTTGTGAACTATAAACTCAAAGGACTTGTCTAAACACTGTGCTAAGGCTCTTGACCAAACTTTAACTTCTCTTCCATCTGTACTTAGGTCATGGCTTGTGTCCTTAAAGATGGCCCCACCTCCTGTGTTGAGTCCTTGCTCAAGAAAATGTGATCCTGCCAAACAACAAAACATACATTGTCTAACTCACTTAGCCAAACCATTTTCAGTAATTTTCCACTTACTCCTTTCTGTAATTTTCCATTTCCACATAGCCCCCTAGTCCCTTTTTTTTTTTTTTAGGGTTTTTTAAAATTATGTTAATCACCATACATTACATTATTAGTTTTTGATGTAGTGTTCCATGATTTATTGTTTGCATATAACACCCAGTGCTCCATGCAGAACGTGCCCTCCTCAATACCCATCACCAGGCTAACCCATCCTCCCACCCCCCTCCCCTCTAGAACCCTCAGTTTGTTTTTCAGAGTCCATAGTCTCTCATGGTTCGTCTCCCCCTGATTCCCCCGCCTTCATTCTTCCCCTCCTGCTATCTTCTTTTTTTTTTAACATAAAATGTATTATTTGCTTCAGAGGTACAGATCTGTGATTCAACAGTCTTGCACACTTAACAGCGCTCACCATAGCCCATACCCTCCCCAATGTCTATCACCCAGCCACCCCATCCCTCCCACCCCCCACCACTAGCAGCAATGTCCACAATAGCCAAACTGTGGAAAGAGCCAAGATGTCCATCGACAGATGAATGGATAAAGTAGATGTGGTATATATCTACAATGGAATATTATGCAGCCATCAAAAAGAATGAAATCTTGGGGCACCTGGATGGCTCAGTCGTTAAGCGTCTGCCTTCGGCTCAGGTCATGATCCCAGGGCCCTGGGATCGAGCACGGCTCCGTGCTAGGCGGGAAGCCTGCTTCTCTCTCTCCCACTCCCCCTGCTTGTGTTCCCTCTCTCACTGTGTCTCTCTGTCAAATAAATAAAATCTTAAAAAAAAAAAAAATGAATGAAATCTTGCCATTTGCAACGATGTGGCTGCAACTGGAGGTATTATGCTGAGTGAAATAAGTCAATCAGAGAAAGACACGTATCATATGACCCTAGTCCCTTTTTTATTCCTTTCTCTTTTTATTTGTGTATAGTTCTTTTTTGTTCCCAGTTGCTCTCCCTTTAAAAACATCAGTCACCTTTGTCTTAGTTGGAGTTAAAAGTTTATACTGGAATCTCTCTTCCCTACTACAGTAGTATGAATAACATCTGTCTTGCCACCTTTAACAAGTATTCAGCTGTGTTTTTCTTTGTCAGGGGCACATGTATTCTATTTGATTTTATTTATACAGCAGATATTTCTGAAAATGCATGGTAAAAATAATCAGGCTTCTTAAGTCACAGACTAAAACGCTAGTGAGTCTTTTTCAGTTATGAGATTATATATGTCCATATTAAAGTAGAATTATTTGAGGATTTTTAAAATGAGAATTGCGAATGGAATATAATCCATCTTTATAGGTAGCATGTCTCTTTGGTTTGATGAACAGAATTGAATAATGACAAGAGTATTGAGGGAAGTAGATGTCAAAAAATACATAGGATCATTTACCCCTTAGGGTAGAATGGATTAACTAATACAATATATTTAACCAAGAGTAAAATATTTGGATGAGGCACAAGTCTTATAAAATGTGGAGGAGAATCTGTCACAACTTGATCCACAGTGGTTGAATTAAATGGAGTGATCTTACTTATGCTTGCTAGCTTACTTGCCTACTATGTCTCAAAAGTCTATTCCCTTTTTTTCTTTTCTTTTCTTAAACTTTTTTTTTTTTAAGATTTTATTTATATATTTGACGGAGAGAGAGACACAGCGAGAGAGGGAACACAAGCACGGGGAGTGGGAGAGGGAGAAGCAGAAGCAGGCTTCCCATAGAGCGGGGAACCCGATGTGGGGCTCCATCCCAGGACCCTGGGGTCATGATCTGAGGCTAAGGCAGACGCTTAATGACTGAGCCACTCTGGCGCCCCATTCTTAAACTTTTGACAACAAAACAAGCAACATTTTATGACAAGGAAAGTAACAGTTGCCACAAAGGCCAGTAGGAACCCAATCACATCCAAAGAGTGGTACTGGAACTAGGTGAGGCTGTAAGAAGCTGGGCGTAGGTACTTGGCTCCTTTATGACAAATGACAAACTCAATCCAGAAGACTGCTCCATCCAGAGGCTTTATAAGCTGATCATGATGAATGGTTGATAACCACATAACATTTTCTTTATAGCCGAAAGAAAATCAAATGATTTACAGAACAAAGTAGAAAAGATAAGTGAAATTTTCATGTGGATGGTAAAAATGAGTGCCACATAACACTGGAAGAATATTTTTTTTTTTTAGAGGGAATTATAGAGATCTTTATGGGCTGGAATTTGTTGAATGTCTAGGATTTCAAACTGAAGAAAAAAAAGTTGGGAGATGACAAGTATTTCTAGCTTAGAAAGTGGAATGAGTTAAGTCCCTAAGGCAAAAAAAAAAAAAAAATTACATGATTTTGACATGCAAATTTTGAATTATCCAGTAAGGAATTGTTAATAGATCTGGTAAGCAAGTTTCAAAATACTATCATAATCCAGAGATAGGAGACAAAATCCATGTGAGGTTCAGGGACATGTCTGGGCAGAGCTGATCAAGAGCTGGTATTGACTTGATAACAGTGAATTAGTGGTTGTAAGTGTGGAATGGATTGTGTTGGTTTGAGTTTTGACTCTGACACTTCGCTTTTTTATCATTTCTGTTTCTCAGTTTTTCATTTTTGAATGGATAGGCATAGTACCTTTCTTAATCTGATGATTTTGAGGAATAATGTATTGATTCTTGGAGATGTCCTTATCATTTAGAGACTCCATTTGTATTTGATATTGTGGTTTTTCTTGTTAGTATTGTCATTTTAGAATATGGAGAGTGCTCAACATTTCTCTTGCAGGCATTGCCAGTTGCATTTGTTTCTACTATTGAAATGATTATGGACTAACGGAAAGAAGAAGGATTAATAAAGAGGGCTTACAAACTTTAGGTCACAACGTGCTATGGCACTGTAGCAATAACCATGGAGGTAACTTCTGTCTGTCCTGTGAAAACCACAGTGAGAGCACCACAGGGTTTTTGAGAGGAGAGAAGTAATCCTGAAACATATCTGTAATACAGTAGGGAACAACTATAATGAAGTTACTTAATCCGTACAAAGAACTTAGTACAGTGTGTACCAATATCATAAACATTCAATACATATCTGCTAATAAATTTTCTTCATTTTTGGGGTACAACTTTACCTTATTAAGAATTAAAAAATGTAAAAAGACATCAATTTTAGAAAGATATGCTTTTACATAAAACTGCCAGGTCAAAGATAACCTTAAAAAAAAACAAACACAAAAATGTGCTTCCCATGGTGTTTACTTAGGATGAATAATAGTTGGGCTAAATTAAAATTAAACAACATTACTTTTAAAATGCAGATGTCCCCTGTGATATTATAACCAAACATTCACAAAATTTTATTTTTAAAGTCATGAAAAAAAAGGGGAAACATATACTTAATTATGATATTAGTAATAATAGGAAGAGTATACCAATTAATGTATATACTGAAATAATTTGGAAACCAAATATTTCTGGTCCAGAAAATTTGGCTTTTAAACAGAAATATTCTAGGGGCACCTGGGTGGCTCAGTCGTTAAGCATCTGCCTTGGGCTCAGGTCATGATCCCAGGGTCCTGGAATTGAGCCCTGCATCGGGCTCCCTGCTCAGTGGGAAGCCTGCTTCTCTCCCACTCCCCCTGCTTGTTTTCCCTCTCTCACTGTGCTTCTCTCTGTCAAATAAATAAAATCTTAAAAAAAAATAAAAATATTCCAATAGATCTCTTCCAAATCAATTACTTTTTGATTTTATCGTTCTATCAAAACAAAACAAGCACAACCAAAATTACTAAGAATATAACTGCATTTATAAGTAGTATTCACAAAGTTTTAATTGGATAAATTTGAAAGTTGTAGTTATTTATCGTTTAT